TTGGCACATCTGTACAGTATTTTTCAAAATTACACATCATAATATGTTGCCATCTTCGTGGGACATGAACAGTCAATACAGTGATACTTCTGGGGATTGTGTATACGAACTTCATTATAATTTTACAGAAGCTGTTAAATTTGTGGAAGGCTCTAGGTTTTTGCACTAGAATTTTATGGAAAGTCGATCATGTTGGCTTTCATCTCCGTCTTAATTTTCAGCCTTAAGGTACTGGTCCGCGGACTTTTCTTTCTCAACAAACACGCCGCGCCAACACAAGGGATTCCTGTTATCACTACAACCGCTCCCTCCGATGTCGTGACCCAGGGGTCAAGTTGCCTGATCCACAGGGTCGCCCCGAACCCGCCAGCCCGCTTTGCTGGACCACCGAGGAACAATATTTTCATAGGGCGGCCAAAGACGACGGACCGCGGGGTGCGGTGAGCGCGCACGCGGGGGCGGGTGCGCGTTGCTTACGGCGCAAAAGTTGCCCGAAGGCCCGGTACTTTTGTGTGCATAGATCGTTCAGTTCTAGGACAAGATTTTCTTGGAGGCCTTTAAAAAGCTCAGTTTTGGGAATTGGTTGGCCATCTGAGGCACATTACCAAGAGATGGCTACCTGAAGCCTAAAGATTGTGTTCATCTACTTCAAGCCAGAGGTCAAACGATTTTAAATAAAAATGCCATAATAATCCGCGACTGAAGCCCTCATTCACGCCGATACCCATCCCCCCCCCCCCAAAAAAAAAACCAGCTGAAAATCCACAGCGCCCCCAATGTCAGAAAGTCGTCACGCCTCAAGCCAACGCGCTCGGTACTAACATTGTGGGTAAAACCCGTCACATTCAATAATATGGAACATGTACATGTGATGTAGGATATAACATGATCCCAATCCCACCAATACTCCGGCACCCTGGGGTCACTGACCGCACTACAATCGACCCGTAGACTTGTCCAATTCATCACACCTCAGATTTCCCGGACCTCGGTTTGACTGCGCACAGTTTCAACCGCCAGCTATTAGGAAATGATATGAAATTACCAAAGCTGATAAGGTGCAGTTGGAGTGAGATGAAAAACCTTGTTTTCCTCCTCAATCTATCAACTATGTCTTTTTGCGCTTGCGTGGGAAAATGTCTGTACATGTAAGAGAACAAAATCTGAAAGATGAATATTCAAGGTAAATTTTAAAAAGAAACATGGAAAAATCACTGCTTGAAAATATTAATTTTTCTGACAATTTTTGGGCCATTTACTCAACCCACAAATGGCTGCCGTGAGCCATATTGCACTCAGGAAAAGTTGCTTATGTATATTCAGCCAAACTCGGAAAGCCAACCCTAAATGGCAGCGAATCGTGCGAGAGACTGGTGCAACTCTACGAGCTACCTGCAGGGGTGTCCTCTACATGCAGCCTCGATTTCTATCGGACAGGATGAGAAGAAAGCGCTTCAAACGGTTAAACAATAAACCCAACACAAACATTCAAGGAAAACAATGATTGTTTTAACGATTGGCGAATTCGAGAATTATCAAACAATCGGAGAAAAGTTAACGATTGGCCGGGAAGTGGTTGAAATATTTTGTAACCTCCACTAGTCTGATGTAATGTCTGAAAAGCAAATGTCATCGACCTAACTGAATGAAAACAGATAACCTAAAGATTGCGCGAATCCTGTCGTTTTGTCTTGAATCATACTGTCTACAATTTGAAATGCAATCAAAATACTGCTTACTTTAAACTGCAATATATTTCTGTGTAGGTATACCGTCGTAACCAACAAGATGAGTTGGTTTCTTATCTTGAGAATGAAGGGCGCCCGCTAGGGGTCTTAAGGGCCGTCTGAGTAGCCAGGCTATGTGGCTGTACGTATGAAAAAAATAATTGTGTATGATCATAATAGTCGTTCTAATTGTCCTGGCGTGTATCACAGCATGTGGCAGTCAGGCTGTCTGGCTGAGGCCTGTTTGGCTACCGGTGCAGCCGGGCAGTATGAAGCTAAGTTACCATAGTGCCAAGTTACCATGCTTTGAGAGACCTTTCTTAATTCGACCTAGCCAGAGTCCTATGAACCTAGGGGAGTCAGGTTGGCATAGTGGTACTTTCCTCGCCTTCCACCGCTGTGACCCGGGTTTGAATCCCACCTGGGCCAACATGTGGATTGGGTTTTCAGTCCCTACCTGATTCCGTGGTTTCCCCAGAATATTCTTCTGGGCTTTTCCTCCCACCTCATAAACTGTAACTTGTTCTCATTGTCTTCTCTCCACAGGTTTCTCCAGGCTTGCGAGCTACAGTGCCTATGGCGCTTTTGAGGAATCCTTGGTTTCATTGCCAGAAATGATTGATAATAATAATAATAATGACATAATGGTAGGGTTCTTGTTCTAGAACTGGCCCTTACAGCATGGATTTGCATGTGCATTTAGTAAAGATCAAACCGGTCGAGGTTATTATAAATAAGTAAAGTGCATTGGGGGCTTGCAGAATGTACATGTATGTATAAAATCAAGTGAACGGTCAGTTACACCGTGTGAACACCGGCCCATATAAATTAACACCGTGTGAGCACAATATTAACACCATGTGAGCACTGTTGTGTTTAAAAATTAATACGAAGTGAGCACAACAATGTTAATACCACCATTACCACGTGAAGACAACGTTAACATTAATGTGAGCACAATGTTAACACCATTTGAGACTGAGTACTATGGTAACACTATTATTTTGTCCACATATATATTATCGTCGGTATTACTGTGTCCAGAGGGCGCTCCATAATGGGCCGAACAACCTAACGAAAACGCTACCGACTAATCCGGCGACCATAAAATATATTCATAGAATTTTTTTCCAAAGTTAAATATCTCACAGCTCGTGTTTCGAGTTCTATCTATAAAATCTCCGTATTCAAGTGTGCTTTTAACATGATTTACCCTGTTTTACCTGCCTCCCAAGGATGACAGAGTACACTAGTGTTGTTGACATACACCTCAGACAACAAAAAATTACCGTATTTCAATCAACACTTGTCTGTTAAGCAAGAGGAAATGTTGAATTATCATTACGTGATGCGCTTTGAGTTTTTGAAAACGATGAAAAAGTGCATGTTGTACGCAGGTTGTATTATATGGTACGCGCGCATTCAATACGTTTTTCGACCAATAGGAGGTCGGCAAAAAACACGCGAGCCTAAACAATCATATTAAAATATGCGCGCACGCGCGCGCGTGCCAACACCTCAAAAAGGCGTCTAATTAAGAGTTTCGTTTGTACTGATGAGATGAATTAGAGACACGTACTAACGACTATCACTTTGACCTTTTCACTTCATGTCACACAATTTTTCCTTCTTTGTCAGCTGAGTCACATTTGGTGGAAAAAAGTCGTAAATTCAATTTTTTTTTTGATTTACAGGGATTTTGCAACGAGACCTGCGTGCAAGAACAACACGCGAGTCAGAAGGCGCAATACAATAAATGATCGAAACTATTATACAAATAACGAATGTTTGTGAGTGCGATGGTAAGAATAATTTCATTCGGTGACAGATTGAATGTTCTATTCCACGAGGCGAAGCCGAGTGGAATAGAACATTCAATCTGTCACCGAATGAAATTATTCTTTCCATCGCACGAACGTAAAACATTCGTTATTTGTTTTATACAACACCAGAATAAATTCTCGTCATTTGATTGGTAAATTATAAACTACAATTTATTTTGATTTTAAAGATGTTGAACTACCCCTTCACGAAAATGTTTGAACCCAACGCTGTAGCGCTGGCTCTTTGGAACAATACGCGCTACGCTGAACGCGCACACCAGCGTGCATTTTGCACGCAAATACCGCGTCATGGAACAAGCGCAAAGTGAAACGGTATAACGCATGGGTATAACGCATGGTCGCACCGTGCATTATACCGAATAATAATATGTCACGTGATCTACAATTCACCAATCAGATGACGGGGATTTATTCAGGTGTTGTATAAAAAACAATAATTGATGGCATTGGCTTTGTTTAGTGGTTACTATAGTATACTATGTAGTATGTAAGGTATTATACGTAAGAACCCGTGCCTCCCTTTCACCTCAACAGTGAAGAAAAGGGCCCATAGAGCAATGCAAAGTACGTTGCTGACGGGAGTTTTTGGGAATCCGCACGATTGAGGTAATCGATACATGAAGGTGATCGATCCATCCATCAAGGTCCTGCCATTATTGTCTTTCCTTCCGATGTTCATAGACGGTCCACCGGAAGGAAGCACCACATGGCCAACCCTCACTGATCGATGGTATTGATTAGCTATCAATAACCTTTTTTATTGGAAGGTGCAAGGGTTCACGAATTTGACCAGCGGGAGGCCACATTTGGCAAACTGGACAGTCACTATCAAAAGAAGAGTGAGGGGGATGACCTGACAAACTCTGTTCCGACCGATTGAGGGCGCTATCCAGTGCTATTCATAATTTAACAAGCACCCTCTTCAAAATTACTTCATAAATAACAAGCACCCTCTATTAAAAGTACTTCTTCCTGTATAACCAGAAATGGCGATGATAAAGCGCAGCCACGCGTTTAAAAATTGGACCTTGTAAGGGTGAGAACAGGTATTGAGTTCCCAAACCATTCAGGAAAACAAAGATGAAACTAATATGTGGTACATGGGCCGATTCAGATTGCCAATTTCACACCTCTGACGCCAATTACAACAAAAAGCAAGTTTTACAAGTGAATTCAAATTTTGAGGTAAGGATAAGAACCCCCCGACCCCCCCCCCCGTTGGACCTGCATACAAATCAGATTTAAAGGGCAAGACGAAACCCACATATTTACCCCTTAGAAAAAAAAAATGAACGTTATTCACGCATGTCCAACCCCCGAGTTCAACGACCCTATTGAAATCAATAATAACTGAAACCCAGGAATCGATACATTTGTGATTCTCTTTGTTCTTCACACGCTACGAAATGAAGAGAAACGACGTGACGCACCGAATATCACGTTACAGACATTTTAATTGCATTGAAAAGTCTAAGGAAATAATAAATTAATCAAGATAAAATTAATATACAATATTCACCAAATTGATCGATGAACAATATTTGCCAAATTTGCCCTTGCGTGCGAATGCAAGCTTAGATTATGACCATGCCAATACATGTACCTGTCCGAAACAAAATGTTATACTAACCCAGAAAAAAACCCATTTAATTGGCTGGAAACCATCTTTCCCGCCCGTATATTACATTGACAAATAAATTACAGCGAGCAGACGATAAGGTAAACAAGACACACAAAATATCTATCAGTAGGCGGGAAATTACCTGATAGAATTCCAGATTTGTTTTACTGGCGTGCTAAATATCTCCACGAGGTTAAACGAATACGGAGTTCTCACGCATGGGCTTCGCTGGAAAAATCCATTTGGGTAGCTTGAAATTTGACAGTTATTAAAAGACATATAAACAGTCATCCATCAAGCATACGTGTGGACGGATAGCTTTACAGACTTTTAAATCTGAGGAACATTTTCTGGCGAGCATTTCATGACTATTTTAAAAAGAATCTGTTTATTTATTCTTTGTTTTTCAGGGATGGGCTAAATAGTTTGAGGTACTTGAATTCTTTTTTAAATGTTGAAAGCGGTGGTGAAAAAAAAATAATGCATGTTGCCGTTCGCGAGGCGTACAGAAGGACTCACAAGAGGGCGCTCAACTATCATGACAGTGAAAATGCCAACAACATAACACCCTGACAGACTGCACGGTAAGGGCGCACTTGTGTACTTCAATAAGTTTTTAAACATAATTTTCTTTTACTTGACGGACTCAAAACTAATCCTTGTGCAAACTGTGACAGCTTGTCTTGCCATAGATTTACTAATAACTTGTTACGATATTCTATATTCACTACAATATTCAATGCTAGTAAAACCAGATTAGCTAGGCCTACATACTTTTGTCATTATTTTGTAGCATTATATGAATAAATATCTTATGTTCTAAAGTTTGCGCCTTGCCCATAACAGTTCACTTCGTATTCCACTTGGAGCAATCACTTGAAAGGCCCTTGAAGAGTGGCTCCATTAACATCTCTCTCGCCGTACGCGAGATCTCGTCCCAGATGAGAGTCTTGACGCCTGCGCAGTACTCCACTCTTGGGTCGATGGGGTCGAGAGCTATTGGTCCATCATAATCACGTGACCTTCAACAAGAATCAAAATCGCGACAGAGAAATAAAGCTGAGACAAACATTCAAAGACACTAAGTTACATATAGCTTAATCAACAAGTTGAAAGTCGGGACACAAAATGACGTAGGCATTTACCTTCTTATTTGACTGTTGTACGTCCGCATTGGAATCTGGTAAGTTACAACTAAATTGGCGTCGAATGAAGTTGAAGTCATGGATTCCTCATGTGAAAATGAGTAATTCTATTCCGATTTATTTTTACCTTGCCAGAATTTCCCGATGTTTTCCCTCAGCTATTTTCCTTTGGTACGCTAGACTTGAACTGCCCTCCCAAGTAATGCTGATGTCTTTCCATTCACTTAGACAGTTGAAAACGGACTTGAGGGCCGTAGCCATGTTAAACATCCGGGGATTTCCCGCCACGTCCCAGCAGTGGATCACCAACAGCTCATAGAAGCGAACTTCCGGTTTGTCGCCGCGGAGCCGTAGGCGGCGCTTGCGCCAATGCTTGACCAATAGGATGACGTCTTTGACAGGACTCGGTAGGTTTTGAAAGAGGCCTCTTCTAAGATCGCTCAGGGTTGGTTCGTAGGGAGACTTGTCTTCGTCCTGCATGAACTGTCGGTACATGGTTTCTCTGTTTGCTGGAGAGAGGGGAAAGTGATTACAAAATAATCAAGAAACACATCTCAGTCTGAAATTCGAATGGAAAAGTTAATCATTTAGGTCTATAAAGCTTCTAACAAGTTACCCATATCAGTATGAGATTTTATGAGGGAATACGAGAGTTCGGGACATCACCTTTGTATTCTTGAAAGTTTGTGGAATGTTTTTGCCGCCGTTTGGTACTTGAACTGGTTCCTTTAATTAAAGTAACATAAATCAGTGCTTCTAAAACAACAAGACGGTGTTTAGAAAATTGACACAAAATAAAACCAAATAATTGGCGTTTCCGCTTAATCATCCTTGACGCTTACATTTATTTGGATTTGATCCAATCAGATCAACGGCTAGGACGATCGTCCCTTCTAACCGCTCCTCCCCCACCATGACCCTCACGCGTATCATCCCATCTGTCACACTGTCTGGCTCCCTAACCATCACCGAACGAAGGGCGCCCTCAGCGCTCAGCAGGTCACGTGTCTGGGTCACCACAACCGAGAGTCGTTTGTGGTAATCATCAATGCTGCGGAATTCGGAAACGAAGAGGGCGAGTTGGAACTCGGCTTCCTCGTTGAGGGCGCTAGTACCTCCGGTGAGATCGCCACCCTGCGGCGACAGAATCAAATCCGAGCTTTTCAAAACGGTTACGAAATCGGCGACTTTTAGACGCTTGGCGGCAGAACACTGATTCACTCACTCAGCTACAAGTCAAGTGCCCCAATTTTTTTTTCAAGTGAACGTCTTCAGATCGCACAGACGCACACAACTACTGACAGAGTTAAGTAGTCATCTTTAATATGTAGCATTATTAGTCACCAATATGTGATTATCGAACAATCCTTAGTATTGGAAACGTAAGCCTATTTTTATTGTCTCGGGCATTTTTATCAGAGATCTATATTTTTTTAATATGCCTACTTTTATTGTCAAAAGGTACACTTAAAATTGTGTTAATTTTTAAAAAGAGTCACAATTTTAATGTCTGAATTTCATAAACCGATGAAGAAAATCATGAATGCATGGTCACGAAATTATTAATTATTCAACGTACGCAATGAACTCACTACTCACCACAACATATCTGGATACAGAAAATGAAACATTCGCTTTGACGTATGTTACCACTTTGTGTAGCGCCCTCTGTAGTTCTTCTACGAAACTATCAGATTGCCGTAAGTGCGCGGACACGAACGATTCCAGGTCGCTTGGGCGCAGTTGCCATGGCGATTTCTCTTTGGCCATGGAATACCCTAATAGCAAAGACACGTGGTAACAATTATTTGAAATACAATTTAGAACACTCTTTCGTCCCTGTATTTCCAATTCCAAATCTGGGGCTAACAAATTCAATTCAATTCAATTCAAAGACATTTATTTCCATTTCACCGATTCACAACAAGCAGAATAAACAAAATATTAAAACATTAGGTAAGTATGTAATAACAGAATAATAATGGTGAAAATGGAGGCAGGCCCCGGTAAGCATGTGCTTGTGTAACAAAGTAACATTGTTTCCAAAATTATAGGCCTACACTTCAATTTGTGCCTTTTTTTCGACGGAAGACAATCCCCCAATTTCCGAGTCGCAGGTGCAGTTCAAAGACCTTACCTCATTACCGATGAAGACAACGTTGGCCTTACTCGTTAAAGGATAAAAAAAATTGGCCTGCAAAAGGCGATCTTTTTACCCGGTAAGTTGCATTTTTCTTACTCAAGAAAAAAAATGACTGTAAAAAGGTTAATCAGACTCGGATTGTATTAATTTCATGATGACATTCCGTGCCTCGTTACGAACAATAACGGCAAAATTAGTGAGCGACATCCTGGGGTCGTGCGTGGTTATGGTTCCTGCAGCTGCCCCCAAGATAAACCCTTCCGCCCGCATACTCGTTAAATACCTATATATACTAGGCGGACGTGATGGCGAATTCTCTCGCTTATTATAGTCCCCACGCTTGCATCGGGCTGCCGGCGCAGGTGTGTGAATCAGCCAAAATGATGAAGAACGCTAATTATTTGGCTGCTATATCTTAATTTTCATGTACTATTTTTTTCTATGCTTCTAGGCCACGTGCTTTCATGTGAAGAATCCGGCCTAATTAGTTTCATTAAATCCTAGCAAAATAATCAGCCAAAACCTTTCGATAATGCCCAAGGCAAAAAAATCCAGATTATCAATTGAATCGAAGATCTCATTCTGCTCTTTCTCTCACTTCGTATGAAAGATTTTTTTGAAGCATGTAGTAAAAAAAGGCCAGGATACACAAACGGTTAAGTGAGGATTTATACTGTCATCAAGTTGTTTACACACGTACTTTAACCTCCAGCCTGCACCAGAGGTAATTAATCAAGATAAAACCTTGTAAGTCCAAAAACAAACATTCTTTTCAGGCCTTGTTTGAAATCATGGAGGAAGGAATTTGGACGTGAATGTCGTCACGTCACTCGACAGCCTGCCATTCTGACAGTCAATACAATTAGAATTTGGTGATTTTATTCAACCATTTTCGTAATTCATGTTATTGGATACAAAAGCCATATACCGAGGTCTAGAAAACCAAGTTTGTGGAATAGAACGCTAATTAGTAATATAACGACCATTGGCACCGCGATGTGAGTTCTTGACATTTTGTGGTCTGGTAGACACCTTTTCATCGTTCAGATAAAAACTTCCAATCACGCTATCAATTCTATCACGAAGGCCCCCTTCAATGGCGACAGCATTGTGCTAGCTATTGCTCCAATAATCCGTCACGCAGGAGTTGCATTGTGCAATTGCATGCATGCACAATGGTTCCTCCATTGAAGGGGGCCTCGAGAGTGTACCGTGATCAGACGCCTGTATTTGTCTATACTAAGATTCTTGCATATTGTACATTTCTTACCTTTTGTGACGTTTGTAGAATTGGTTTCAAAATGGCGACACAGGAAACTAAAAACAGGTATCGTTGAATAAAGATGTAGATGAAGCACTCGTTCAACTTAAACGAATCAATCGCGGCTAGCTCAACCTGTTCACACAGATTTGCATTAAGCGTTGAAATCCCTAGTACGTATGGATTCTGTAACTCAAAAGTACACGCTGCAGTATAACGCTACATACACAATGCTGAGAAAGCAGTACTGTTCTTTACCCGAAAATCACATGCCTGATAATCACACCAGCATTCGTCGTTCAATAATGGGTTTGATAGATCTCGGAATTGATCGTTTTAATATTCAAGCTCCCACGTGAGTAAAGTGCATTCTACGTATTAGCTATTTACAACGCCATTAACTTTTTTAATCAAAATGTGATTACATAAATCCTGCCATGCACGATGCCATGGGGATAATTGAACTTAGTACACCACAAATATAAACCTCTCCAACCAGTCCACTTCAGTATCAAGTGCAAACAGGGCACTCTGAGGGGGGACACTTGAAGCTGTGCTACCATTAATTACCATAGACCATCAAGGGTCAACTTTGTCTAACATGGACCTTAACATGGAGATAACAAAACTATCAACGGTAAAACTCAGTAATGGAAGAATTTTCTGAAAATATCCGCTGTTGGGTTGTGAATTGTTTCATTTTGATTTAATTGATGTAATTTATTTCGGATCAACATATACAATGATTACGGTTAACCCTGAAGGGGCCGGGTTATTTTGACCATCTCTCAGCCGGGGGGGGGGGGGCGGATTCCCCCCTAAGATCTCGGCCATCGAGTGACGAAAATTTTTGAAACTCGGCACATGCATAGAGCAACTCTTCCTAAACATACCCAAGAAATTTCATGACTATAGGTCAAAGGGTTTTGGAATTATGGCTAATTAATTATTCATATGTACGAATGGCAATTCTACTCTGTGTACACGACGTATATGCGAAAATTTAGTTTTCGCCGGAAAATCTTTCGCTACGCGGCAACCCGTGGTCCGATTTTTATGTTTTTGGTATCAAAAGATGCGCAAAGCTCGAGGCTAAAAAGTCATAACAGCTCGGGTCGCAAATTTTTTTTTTTAGAGGCTATCACGGAAAATGTTGAGGGGGGGGGGGCGGATTCCGCCCCCCGGCCCCTTTAGGGTTAAACTACCCCTAGAAACTTAACATTCACGGACACGAGAAAATCATTTTTGAACTAGAAAGCACTCAGAGAGCGAACACGTACCCGGCCGTCAATACAAAGGCTGAACATTCCTTACCATAATTGTTAGTACACCCATACTGCCTTGCCTATCCATTGGACTTCCATTTTTATTGCACATTGAAAACATCCTTAAACTCAAAAATGTTGTAGTATATGCCTGTGTTGGTCTACTTTCCACTCCCCATTGCTACAAAATGGTTTAGTCCATTGACCTGTATGGTTAGATTAGGTGAGTTACAAGGCATGCAGGGTCATCGGGTCAGTGGCACTGCGCGCACACGAACCTGTGCACAGAGCAATCTGGTGAAAGTTTTACATGCATGTGGTGAAAAGTTCTTCAAGAAAAATCCTGCATCCACACACAGATGCCGATCACTTCCAAAATCTAATCGATTTGTTCTTGTACCAAGGACCACCCCTAAAAAATCTGTCCAGAACTTTTTGAGTTATCCTGTTCACGGACACACTAACTAGCCAACAAACCAAACTGACCAACCAACACTCAAACCAACATCGGTGAAAACATAACCTCTCCGGCAGAAGTAATTATTTGGGAGAAATTTGCAAGGTGGTTACTGACAATGGTAATTCCAATTCCAATTCCAATTCCAAATGTGTATATCATGTGACACGTGACATACTTCAACGGCTGTTTGTAAACGAATCCAAAGTATGGATGGAATTTCAGTAATATCGTATGGTTGCCCTCAAACAGCCGTATAGCGTAATCAGCGAAATGCTCATCCCATCCAATCTTATATTTGACCAGTCCCAGCCAATTGTGGCCACGCAAGGACTCATTTCGTCAAGAGGGAAGCAGTCTTGATGAAGAGTCCTCGGCCCCAAAATCCATTTATTTCTGGAATTAAACGCGAAGGCTTGTGATCGAGACCCCCCAAGGGCGGATCCAGAACCCATTTTATTTTTGGGGGGGCCCAAAAAAAATTTGGTCCCCAAAAAGTGTGTCCAAAAAAATTACGGCGTGTGTTCGGAAGGGCCCCGGAATTTTTTTGGATTCTATATGCTCTGTGGTGCGATCTGAGGCAATTTCTGACCACTGTAACCAATTTGTTTGGAGGAAAAGATGGTGGTTTACTCATTGCCTGCCTTTATTACGAAGTCACTCAAAAAAGAAATTGGATTCGGGGTTTTTTTTGGGGGGGGGGCATAGCCCCCTTTGGCCCCCTGGATCCGCCCTTGCATCCCCCCACAAACAATAACAACAACAACAAGAAACAAACAAACAACCCAACACCCCAACAAACACCCTATAATTTCACACGATCACGAATGTACAACCCGTCTACCGTTAGTGACGTCAGCGGTTGACACAGCGAACTATTCTGACCATTGACATACGCGCAAGCCGCGTCACCGATTTTCGACAAATCAAAGAATGTTTCCGTTTAGGTGATCAGCGGCAAAATGCCCGCGGTTCTTTAACTCCACCAATAACGATTTTCGTAAAAAAATATCACATTACATGTCTAGTAATATCTGTGATGCGCACAGAGGAGACTGATACAAATTCCCGCATGAGACGCAGGACGGTCAGATGATAAAAGGAAACTGAACAATTTGGATGATCATAAACAAATCCGTCCACGACTGTAAGACATTCACAACTTAAACTTCCAAAAGATGGCAAGTACTGAGAATACCCCGAGTACTATTCTTCCTCCTTCGCCAGAGATTGATGCCATCAGCAACGAAGGGGCCATCGGTAGAGCAATCCTCAACATCTTCGTCATCATCTTCGGGACTTTCGGCAACTCTTTAATCCTGCGGGTTTACTGGAGTAAAATGCGCAAGAACAGCACCCAAGTTTTGGTCATGGGGCTGGCTGGCGTCGACCTGGCAGTGTGCTTGCTAAGAGTCCGGTCCGTGGTCAAATTCTTTTTCGTCGTTGCGGGAAGGGAGGCTCTGCCTGAGATTTCTGCGGTGCCTCCCCGACTTGCTGTATCGATGTCGTGCGTGTTAACGGGCGTTATAGCTTTTGACCGTTACGACAGCATTTGCCGGCCCCACAAGCGCCTCATCAACAATCTCCGCGCCAAAGTGGTGCTGTTTGTCTCCTTCGTTGTCGCAGTCCTACTTGAATTGCCGGATCTACTCAGTCTGGTCGCCTCATCTCTGCCCCTGCGGAAACTCTCCCACACCATCCAGATCACCCAGTACTTGGCAGTTTTTCTAACGACTGTCGTTTGTTACGGGAGAGTGTACGGGGTCATAAGAAAACGAGCGAGAGTTCACATTGGATTTCAGGTGGCAAGAACTGACGCACCAACCGTGTCAACTATCAGCAGAAACAACCAAACTAGGCCGACCAGAAAGTCTGAACCAAGTGCGATTGTTATAGAATCTTTGTCGTCTATTTCAACCTCAAAACCTGCACCGCGGTCCGAACGACCAACTTTGTCAACTTTGCAAACATTAATGTCCCAAATTCCATCCACATCGGAGACCCAGCAACCAACTGAAAACTCGACACACAGGAAAGTGTCTTCTCTCAAACCACCATCAGCGTGGGTTGATACCCAACGGCAACAGAGGGCCACGGAGACGGACACCTTTAATCGCATCCGGTTGCAGGAGCCCAAGTCTGGTAACCTGCCCCCAATGAGGGAAGTCATGCAGAGAAAGGTAACCCGAATGCTGTTCATCACTAGTGTGGTTTTCCTGTTGACATGGTTGCCCTATTGGATCTTCGTGGCTGCGGATCTCCATGTTCTGAATGGTGGAACAATCGGTGAGGGCGTACTGGAAAAGCTTTTTGGTGCGGCAGTGTTGGTGGCGTTCAACAGCACCGTCAACCCTATTATCTATGGTTTAGCCAACAGCCAATTTCGGAAAGATTGCGCGGTTCTTTTTAGAAAATGCCACCTTTGTTGTTGAATGACAAAACAATTCGCTGCCGAAGTGTGACGTCACCTCCTCCCCAGTTCAGGCTCACTTCCTCCACAACGGTTCACGCGCATTCCACATCGGTACATCACGTTGGTTTAATACAAAAGATCACAGACAGCAATTTTACATCCTATTATTCATAGAACATTTTCACAAACTATAGTATCTGAAACAGGACGCTGGGACAAGCTGATGAATTTTACTCTCTGATTGGATAGATTTTGCGTGACATGTGACCTGCAAGTCATCACGGCCACGACCCTGCAAGGTTTAAACGGCCGTTAAGACTGAGTCATCACTCTTTTATTCCCATTCCAAAATGTTTTTTTTTCGTTGAAAAACGTAATAATGTAGGAAAATCTGTAAAACGTATCTGTTTTGTAAATTTTCAATTCCCGTCACTTGCCCAGGCTCTGTTTCGAATTCACGAAGGGTCAAATTGCATATTATGCGACGCTCAAAATTTGTCCACATGGTCCGCAATGAAAAAGAAATTACATCCGGTATGGAATGTATGTATTTCTATGAGAAAGTTTTCGGATAGCATTCGCGCGCATTGGCTAACTGTAGTCTTAATTAACAGCTGCAGCCAGATGTCTTTATACATAGGTCATGATAAATTACCCAGAATGCCACCCCGTGCACTTCCTTCACAAGATTCTGTGAAGCTCAACAGCCTGTTCCAGCGTCCTGTTTGCAGGGCGGGGGTACGGTACGAGCGAACACGAGCATGTGAGGCGGTGCAGCAATTACATAAAGGGCGCTGTTGTAGCTAGCGCGGACAAGTTTGAAAAAATAAAAAAATGACGCACACGATCAAAATCGACGCGCGGGCTGACCAGAGACCGACTGTTTTTTGTGGACTAACCGTAAAGTATAAGTCCCGATCGTGCAGTGTTAATGTTTGACTACTCGTAGTTGTTATCTAGATTGATAGGCATCAATTCACCTCATTGTAACAGAAAACATCGGTTCAAGTTCTGTATATACGAAAAAACCGGTTACTAAGCCCATAGAATTCATACGGTAGCACAATCATTACGGCAATGTGTACATATGTATTGAATTGGTGTAACTTCTGTATGAGCACTTAGTTTTGGTCTATCGAAAAAAAAAGAATTTATGTAATAACACTCAGAGTCAACACATGTTTGTTATATTATAGATTTGAGCATTACACCTGTATCACCTGTTGTGTAAAAGTGAATTGTGATGAATTAAAAAACAAAAGCACGCACACTCACCCATACAAGCCTACTGCGAGTAGAATGAAATCATTCCTATTTTTCTCCTCGGGCCTCATGATGGGGTCACTCTTATTTAAGTCACCTGCGGATGATTCCCGCTGAACGCACCAGATTATTCCTTCCATGCCGAACATGTGATCAGCCACCTCCAGGCATGGCCAATTCCTGCAGCAAAGGAAACGACCATCATTACCAGAGTCCCATTTCACTTTGTAGTCTCACCTCAAGAGGGCGCTTCGCCCGAGAGGGCGCACTTTGCCCTTTCCTTGTTCGGTCGTATCCACCTGGGAAACGTAAGTGTTACCTGTACGCGTAAATACCAAAATAGTGTAGGCCTACGTACGGAAAAGCTGACTCTGAGCTACTCGGTGTCATATAACATTTTGGACTCCTATGAAATCTAGTCTCTCTCACCTTATATGGACTCTAACCCGAACACGTGATCTGTCGCTGTCTACACCGGTCCTGATTACAGAAAATGTATCCACGAGAGCGAGTAATGCTTAGAGGTAATCAGCACTGTAGGACGTTGGAGACGAGAGACTCTTTCCTCGTGACTCTTTTCTTGTAATCCACGGAGGGCGTTCTAAGTACCAATCTTAGGCTGCATCCGAATCTGTTGTCTAGAGCTAGGTCTAGGTCTTCGCTCCATTAGAAATACGCGGAGACGCGCTGACAATAGACGTAGCCGTAGCTCTGGAAGCCCGTTTCGGACACGGCCTTAGACATCCATTTTAGTCTGGTTCCCTGTCCCCATTGTCATTCGGACTTCAAATATGGGGACAGGTAGCTAACAGTGAACCTGACTACACCAGGAGGCATTCCTCCTGATGTATGCAAATTATATGCATGATGTGCATAAGTCTGAATCTCGCCTCGTGAATTCAAAATCACAATGGTAATTGTTGCGCACAACAAGCCTATCACAAAATGGCAATATAGGCCGCGCCGCAAATGAGCAGCCGTTTTTCCGAGGTGATGAGCTTCGATTTTTGCTGCATTCGAAAGTGTCTCTGACAAATATCAATAAACAGGGGGAAATTACTGTTTTGTATTTACAATCTATGCAGTTGAAATGCTTGAAAGTTGCATCCCTGGAGGCACTGACGATTGTGCGTACTTTTTGTAGCATGGCAAGTAGAGTGAGTTTTTTGATAATCGTGTGTTCATGTTTCAATCACCGTCCATGCGCAAAGCTAGCTAAGCAGCATTAAAAAAATCATGTTGCGCGCTCAGAGGTGATCCAATCAATGATTTAAATGGGAGGGTGAGCCAAGCAATGTTTTTTGGGTGGGGGGGGGGGGGTCTAAGACATCTTTATGCAAATGTCGATCGAAAGAGGGCGCTATGGGCTCTGTGCGCCAACGAAAGAGGGCGCCCTTTTACCTAGCAACGACGTCCCTCGGGATTAAGCTGGTTGACGCGTATTAACTGGTGTGACGCACGCACACCAGGGGATTTGTACTATGTGTACATGCAGTGGTACGTCCGCGCGTAGCGGCAAACTTGCAGTCTAGTCAGTCAAGATGGCGTCGGTCAGTCAACCCCAACTGTACTTTCCTTGCCGGTGAGGGGGTACTTGTGAACGGAGTGGATGTCGACAATTGAAACCGGAGACAAATGAACCCCGGATCATATCGTGATATCTCATTGGTTGAATCTAGAACCCATAAGACAATAGTGATAAACTCAATTATACATCAAATTTACTCTATAAAAAGACCCACTTACAATTCTCAATATTCAAACATTAATTGGAGCCGACATGCATTCAATTTAGATTAAACGCAATTTTTTAGGGCCGTGCATCCAAAAGCAAATGTGAATAATGTAGTGACGCAATTACCGGCCTTCACAATTTAAAGGGTTTCTCGATTCGAGTCTCGGACAATCACCCTACTTAAACACTTGGGAAAGTCATTCACCCCGAAAGGCGGTTAGTAATGTACGACCATTTACTGTCATAAATTCGCCTTTATGAATAGTGGTGATTTAAGCGGCACTCCATCAACGGAACATTGTGCAACACATGATCAATCAAAGACAGAAACTCTAGTGCGCATCACTTCTTAATCACTGATTGCATTATTTAAGAACATAAACCAACTTTAATGACTTTCTTTAAAACCCGTTTGAACAAGACATTAAAATGATAAAGTGACTTCCATTTCATGGACCACTTATGATGCTCGTCAGGTGTTCTGCTTTTATACTGTTGTAAACGTGAATGCATAAAGGCGGTTCATATAGGCCTACGTGACGCGAATTTTAAAACTTCCGTTGTTGACGTCATGAAATTCGCTTGAACACACCTACTTCAATAAAACCACTGCAAGCAAAGTTGCAACACATTCTCTGTAGCAAGAGGGAGCATGCCTATCTTGTATGCGAAGAGTGGTCCGACTTGATAGCCGGAAACGCAGTAGTCGATGTGCAAGCGTTACATTAGACGCACTCGTGAGTCGTTTTCTACAAGGATGGCGGGAACTGACGGTTATACCATGGGGCTCGTCAGCGTCACGCCCAAACCAGTTGGTGCGAGCGTCACAGTCTTGGAAGCTGTCGGGAAGACTGTGGTCAGCGCGTTCATGCTCATCTTTGGCACCGTTGGAAACTCCTTGATTCTTAGCGTGTATCGGAGAAAACTGCAGAAGACGAGTACCCACATACTCATCATGGGACTAGCAGGTGTGGATTTGGGTGTCTGTTTGATGCGAATCCGGAATCTGGCCAAGTTTGCTTACGTCTTATCTGGGAAACCTATCCCAGATATCGTGGAGTATCCTTTTGTTCTACTAGACGTCATTCTTCTTGGTTGCTCCTCATTGTTGATGGGTATCATCGCCTTGGATCGCTATGACAGCGTCTGTCGACCACACAGGCGAATTTTCAACAAACTCCGTGCCAAACTGGCAATCCTGGCCAGTCTTGTGTTCATGTTAGCACTCGCGCTGCCGAATTTTATGACTAAAAACAACCCCACCGTCAATATTCAGAGATACACCTTGGTGCTGCAGGTGATTGACTACGTCATTCCGTTACTGATGGTCATCGTGTGTTACGGTAGAGTGTATATTGCCATTCGGAGACAGGCAAGGGTGGGTTGGGTGGGTTCTGGTCGAGTAGGGAGGAAAGTACGTAACCTATCGGCTATCAGTCCAAACATTCACTTTAGAGTTGATGAGGTTGACAGACATGAGATGAAAGTTACTTCCTTCTGCAACGAACTTCAGTTAAATGATGGAGCATCAACATCCGCAAATCAACAAACAACACGTGAATCGCAGGGACCTGCACGTGAAGTGTCCAGAAAGAAAGCTACCAAGAGCACGAACCGTCTCACATTTTCAGTGAAAAGTCACGATCAAAAGTGGGCTGACAAACCAATCGCCCCAAAACGCATCCGGTGGCGGGAGCCTCCATCTAGTATCCTGCCTCCCATGAGGGCCTCCGGGCAGAAGAAAGTCACCCGAATGCTGTTCATCACCAGTGTGGTGTTTTTGCTGGCGTGGCTGCCCTATTGGGTCTACGTCGCCATTGAACTCTTCCGTCAGGACGGAGGGAAGTTAGACGACGGCGTTTTGCCCGCCTTAGCGGTCGTTTCAATGTTCATTCCCCTGAATAGCACAGTCAATCCTATCATTTATGGACTAGCTAACCGGGGATTTCGGCAAGATTGTAAGAATTTGTTCAAGAAGCTGAGACTCTGCTGAAGCTAATTCGTTTCGCTAAATTTAATTGATTTTAATAATAACAGTAATAATAATACAGGGCGATTAAAAAGAAACTGCAATAATGCAAAGGATCTATTTTTTCCCAAACCAAGTTGAAGTTTTGAAGTTTTTAAATTTTGTAGGAATGACATATTCATTAGTAACCTTGTGTTGAAAAAATGAAGTTAATTGCATTTACCGTTTGTCTTTAATGAACCGTTTTACTGCGGTACCCGATTTAGGTTTTTGTCCACGACGCATCAGAATTTTGCATAAGAGCGGTAACGGTACAATAAAGACATTAGAGTCAACACAGATTTAACTGACAGTTCCTTAAAGCTCATGCTTTTTTACTGTTTCACTTCTTCATGTTTATGCAAAGTTTCTCTGGGCTATACTGCAGTTACTGTGTCCTTCATTGTTCACACAATTGCAGCTCGGCCCTCGACTTGGCAACCCTGCAAGGCAATGCATGTCTCAGCTCTAGACCTAATGGATGAAAAGAACGGCTCTGGGAGACACATTTTGTACTCTTATGCAATTTTAGACGCCACGTGGACAAAAGCGTAAACCCGGTAACGCAGTAAAAAGGTTCACAAAAGATAAACGGTAAATGCGATTAAGTTCAATTTTTTTGCACACACAAGGTTACTAATGAATATGTCATTCTTAAAAGTTTTTAACATTCAAAGCTTCAACTTGGATATAAAAAAAACCCGATGTCTCCTTTGCATTTTTGCAGTTTTTTTTACTCACCCTGTAAAAACAAATGAAGAGCGATGTTGTTATTAACGTGTGGAACGAAACCTTGTGTAATTACTGATGGTTTAAAGTTCGATCTCAAAACAAGTCTGTTTCTCAAATCTACACCGTCAAAGTAGGCCATTATTACAGCTGAAGCCCCATCAAGTTGAGAAAGAACACAGCAGGCTGTTTATTCAATTTATTACTTTTTGAAAGCCATCTTTAAAACTTCAGTGATTAAAGGGCTACTTTCTACTAACTTGTAGAAATGTCAACTACAATTCGTAATAGGTCTCAACATGTTAACAGTATACGTTCCGGTCAAAACTGTATATAATATATACTTGATAAAAATAAAGTTTTATTTTACGTCGTATTTAAAAAAGAAAAGTGATGTAATCATGGCACCAAACTATGGTATGCGAGTAGTTGTGCACAAAAGTTCTTCTTTATAAGTATTTTGCACTGCCGTGTGTTCTGTATGCAGTCGGATCACATGTTAATCACAGGTAAATCTTGTTTTTCCCAACCAGACGTATGAAATTAAGTTTTACACCCTAAGCACTATGTGTAAAACATCGCTCTAGAGTGCGTCACTGTATAAGCGAACCCATGGGCTAGGAACGAGAAGAAAAGAATCTCAATATAATACAAAAATTGACAGAATCTGCAAGATTGAACGATAAGAAGATTCTATCCGAGTATAACATCCCCAGGGCCTCCCACCGAATTTGCTTAAAAATAAAATAAAAGAGAGGTGCAGTCTTGCTCTGGTCTTGTTCCATTCTTGTTTTTTTTTGTCCAGTGCTGTTGGACATCTGCAAGATAAATCTGCAAGATTAAAATTTGGAGAACAGCACTCGCATTTTAGTTAGACGGCAAAGTTGTTTTTACTTCATACAATTTGATGCTGGGGGGGGGGGGTTGATGCATCATGATCCAGAATATCACCATGCTTTGACATTTAATCGGGACAGTGGCGGTTTTGTCTAGCCCCCCCCCCCCAAAAAAAAATCATAAAAAAACAATGCACTAGCAAAATGTAAGAATTTGACGTACATGGGAACGGTCTCCCCCATTTGTACACTTTTAGTTAATAGGCCTATAGCGTGCCTGATTGTAGGATTTTATCAGCGCTCCCCATTGAAAATATGGCACGAGCCCCCCCCCCCCCCCCCCCCCCGCCCTATTGATTTGTGGAGGCCTTAAGTGTCCGGAGAAAATAACCGGTCTACATTTCAGCACGCCTCCCAGAAAAAATTCTAGATCCACCTTGCTAGCCCCCCCCCCCCAAAAAAAAAATAGGCTCTAGAACTGCGCCTGGGACTAGTCCCGATTGGGACGAGAGGCAAAGAGGAAACACGTACCACATATTTTTCCGGATGTTATTTTGTATTCACGACTTCCTATTGAAAATATAAGAGCTTCAGACTCAGGAGACAGCCTTCAAAATGACATTTTTAAGCCGATTTATTCCACTCCCTCGAAAGGAAGATTAATGCTCCATTACTACTATGTTATAAAAGAACCATTTTTAAAAATTAAATCTGAAGTAACAAAATGTATAAAACCCTCAAAGTTTCTGCGGGGCAGGTGCGTGGTCTTTAAGCGGGGGGGGGGGGGGGGGGGGGGGGGGGGGGGGGTTGGACTGGGGAGGGGCGTGTTTTAATGTTACGCAAATGAAAGTTTTTTTACCCCAGGAGGCCACGAACTCGGCAGAGAATTACATGGGTGGAAAAGGCCAACAAATCAGGCAAATCGATTTGTTGATATCGTCCCAGAAATCACGAACGGAGAAAGAACTGCAGACGGTGCATTCGATGCATGCACAACTGTAACGCTTCGTTCCGCACGAAGAAGGATTGTGGCATAGCCTAATTACATCTGCAGACTTACAACAGGGATGTGTTTTCTACGTGTTAGTCTTCTCTACAGGCGTATCATTTTATTGCGTCCTTGCTCAGTCAGATTCTTGCTCGGTAAAGTTATTTGTAATTCTCTTGGTCAGATTATTATTTATTCTAACTGCGCATATACATATACGCACATGTACTATCGGACGATTTTAAACACGTATGCGTGAAAAAAACAACACAAAATCCCAAAAAGCTGGAATTTCACCTTGTTTTAAACTATCTTATAGGCTTAAAAGTATGTGCGCTAAGCACCATCTTATGTATTTGATTTCTTGAAATTAAATTGCTGATTTAGTCACATTGCCCCAAAGACTTGTGTGCGTTTATCCGCTGTTATTATCCCAACGGAACACACAAATATCGTCTGATCTTGATGTGCACATGCGCAGTTTGAAAACTAAACTGTTTTATTCGAGGAAAGAAATCCAGGGTAACACGTACTATTAATACTGAGTGTTTAATAGTGATTTGCGATACACTGTGGCAGAAAGTGAAAGAACATAGTCTTAATTAGTAGAATTGTTTCCTAGTAGACTTGTTACTGATACGAAATCCGGAGTATACATGAGAAGGAAACATTACTCATTGCGACAGGTGTATGGTGTACATATTCCTCGTTCTATAAATACACCAATTATTAGGGCCTTGAACCACCGGTGGTGAACCCAACCATGCATGGGACACACAGTGTAAATAGACCTCTCGGGGCACTATAAATTCAAAGCCCGCACCGGCTGGCTGGAGTAGGCTAATCGGGCTGGGTGGGGGAGATTTTCAGTTGACGGCTGAATTTAAGGCTAGAGGGGTTGACATTCTGAACAAAATGGAGTCCACCATCGAGTACGTCTATGAGCAAATGCTCAACCGTAACGTCGTCGTTTTGATAGCAGTGTCGCTCGCCGTTACCTACGGCCTGTGGAACCGGAGGGGCAACCTCCCTCCCGGACCATGGGGGCTGCCATATTTTGGCCTGGTGCCGTACTTGCTCCTGATGGACTGGTTGTACGGACTTCAGCGGCACGAGGCACTGGCGAGGGTGGCTGGGAGGTACGGTAAAGTGTTCAGTTTCACGGCCTTCGGACGAGTTGTGGTGGTCTTGAATGATGCCGAGGCGATCAAGGAGGCGTACCAACGACGGGAGATGAACGACCGACCGAGGATGAAGGTTAAGAATCACTCCCTCGGAAAAGGTAGGATGGATACCATCTATCTGGGTATCTTTTTAATAGGGCTGTCTGCCCAGAATTTGGCAGTGCCATTGCACACTTCTCACTACGTGTGACTGCCAATATACCGGTACATTGGCAATTTGAGAACCCAGTACTGGCTCACGCATTTCATTTCAGTGTGCGCCCGGTTCGAATCCACCCGAAGACTATCCCTACATGCAGGGATTTTCACTGTCTTAACACACTTTGTAGCTCTCAGCCTAAAAAAGGGTATTTCCTTTACAATTCTTGGACATAATCGTATTGATAACATCTATGACTTTTCTAAAACACAAATAGTGGATTTATTTTCCTAGGCGGTTATTGAGCCTGATATCAATTGTAAAATGATAGTGGAACACTTTTGCATCATTTGTTTTAACCATGCAGGGTGAGTAAAAAACAAAGTGACCTGATGAAAAAGACAAATACTAAAACAATATGTGGCTTACTTCATTTAATACAAATAACAGGTATGAAGTTTATATATTGACCAGTATAACCGTGAAAATTTCACGTAATTTTCATATGAATTCATAAGTTATGTCTACTGTAATACAAACGTCACAAAATTCAGCTGTCTCCTATATATAATGATCATATACCGTTCAAATACAAGGAAACAAGGGCGTTTCCTGCCTTCGTGAATGAATGAAAATTTACATAGGAAAATAGACAAAAACCATGCACCATCATTATTTCAGAAAATAATCGGCATATTCAAAACACAAAAAAGTAGAAATAATGTTTCAGTCTTGACTAAAAATTATACACATCTCATTTGCATCTGAATGACTGTGTGTGATATGGTTCTCACTCAGCACAGTAGCTTAAAATGGCATTCCATATAGACAGCTGTAAAACTGGATTCTTAAAATATTCATAACTTCTTCCTTATTTTTTAAAATTGAGTAGATGTACATGCTCTTTTAATATTTGCTTCGTTGATTCGTCAAATTTAATTGCTTTTTGAAGTGGAAAAATCATTAATCTATGCGAGTCACTTTCTTTTTGACTCACCCTGTAGAACAAGGAACAAAGATAGTCTTTGCCCAAACCACTTGTCAATGTAAGTTTGAATAAACATTCGATATCAATCCGGCTTCCTCTGATTTAAACAGGACATGAAAAAGGACTGACTGCAAAGGTCCATGACATTGAAAGAAACCCCCAGATACACCGATCTATTAATACGACCCACTTGAGTCGGGTTAAAGGTAGATCGGGCAAGCCCCGCTGAAATACTGCATTCCAAACTTCTACCCTTTTTGTCGCTGAGGTACAGAAATACATGACCTGGCACTATTAAGCACATGGTTTTCCTCATGAAGAACTATCTTATATTTTATAGTTAGCAGTGAGCTCAGCACAGAGCACGGAGGAATTCTATGGAAAGATCTGAAAACTTATCTGCTAAGTCAATCAACAGTCTCTAATAAGTAACAAGGTCCTCAAATTAAATGCGACAAAGCTTTCTCTTCTCATTGACACCCTGGTACTTGTCACTAGCGGTGACTTGTATTTGGACTTGTAAAGACTTGTGATTGGACCCGTGATGAATTCGATACAACTCTGAACACGAAAGCGCAATCTTCTATTATACCGCCAAGAAGACCAGTGCTAAAACTCAATCCAGGTTTCATCTTTAATTTTTGTTTCAGTCAATTCATTCCAGCACATAGGCCTACTTGTCTTTCTCTATTCAAAATAATTAAAGAAGTTAATGAATAACATGAATTTTGTCCTATAGCAAGGTCAGTTTGTTTAGTTCCACTTTTGTCGACGATATGATAACCAGCACTCGTGACTATTAGTAGTTAAATGCACTCTAAATTGTTTGGTCTGTCCGACCTTAAAGATAAAAAAACATCTGATACATAAAGTGCATTGAACCAAGTTATCTGCTATACCAAGAAGTACAACAACATTTGAGGCTGAGAGAAGGTTTGCGGGTACAACCTGTGGATTCCATCTCTTTTATAAGAGTGATGGTTCTGAGAAGAACCAGTGAGAAGAAAAGGAGGACGACCACAGCATCCTGGTCGAAACGTCGAGTTCACACTCGCCGGTTCTTCTCAGAACTATCACTCTTAGAAAAAAAAGATAGAATCCACAGGGTGTACCTACGAACCTTCTCTCATTCTAGCCTTCACCATGCAAAATTTCAAATCGTACTGAACATTTGAGACGCCCTAAAACCCCCACAATCTTAAGACACCACAATTAAGGCTATTTTGTCATCTTGGGTTGTTCGCTCGCCTTTCCACAAAGCGATCGTGTTTAAAAACATGAACATGTACATGTATGGAAACCATCAGTGCTGTCAGACTTGATAGCATACACAGACAGATTATGGGACGGTTTACAAAAAGCATGCAGCACGGAGATAATGACCGGTTCCTTTTAATCAATAATCTTTTGAAGGATATTCTGTATTAGTGGACTGTATTAATATTTAATCCATCAATACTTATGGCACGTTGTCAGATTAAACACAGTCTGGTGCAATTTTTATTTTTTCAACAATTGGCATATTGGAATATGGCTAAGGTTGGCATACGACCTTAATGGTTTTTTTTAAAGGAATTTTAAAATGACTTAAAATTTTTAAATTCAAGCACTGATTTGATAATAAGGTTAAGTAAGTAAAATTCACATTATAAAATCAAACCATTAAGGATTATCTCCGTCTGGTTATTTTCAGATTCATCACTTTGTCAATCAAAGAAGATATTTGTTAATGGTTACCACAGAAAAAAAGCTCCACTTCTCCCCTATCGTCCACACTATACTTTTTTTTATTGCACAAACAGGTGTGGCTTTCGCATCTGGCGATTGCTGGAAAGAGCAGCGGAGCTTCAGCATCCGTACCTTGGAGAGTCTGGGAGCTGGCCGGCCAGTCCACGAAGAAAAGATCGCTCAAGAAGCCCGGACGGTCCTGGACGAGATCGCATCCCATGAAGGTAAACCCTTCGACCCCAAGTTTCCCATGCTGATCTGCGTCTCCAACATCATCTCCACTTTGCTGTTCAGCATCAGGCACGAATACGATGACGATAAGTACAAAGCCTTCCTGGACATGATTGCCGAGATAACTCATCTCATGGGCACCTCTGGGGCCATCCAAAGCGCCCCTCTCATCAAGCATCTCCCTCTGGATTCCAAGAAGCGGCTGGCCGAGTTTGGTACAACAGAGTGTAGGTACATGATCGGTATCATCAAGGAGCACCGTAAGAACCTGGACCCTGGGAACCCAAAGGACTTCACGGATGCCTACCTCGGTGAGATACTCGCCAAGGTGCAGAGCGGCGAGACCGAGTCTCACATCAGTACGGAGAACCTCCCGCATACCCTAATACACCTGTACTCAGCCGGTACAGAGAATGTCTCCACTACCCTCCGATGGGGTTTGATGTACATGATCGCGTACCCGGAGGTCCAGGCACGAGTCCAGGAGGAACTAGACCGAGTGGTAGGACCCAATCGGATGCCTCAACTCTCCGATGAAGCAGCTCTACCATACACCCAAGCCACTATCTTAGAGCTCCAGCGTTTTTCGACGGTAGCCCCGCTAGGAGCCGCCCACGTCTCCACTGACGAATTCAACCTGTACGGCTACACCATCCCAGCACGAACCCCAGTGATACCGAACACCTGGGCCATCCACTACGACCCCAAGGTGTGGAAGGAGCCGGCGAAGTTCAACCCAGAGAGATTCTTGACCGAGTCTAACTCGCTGAAGGGAGCTGATGGCATCGTTTCGTTCAGTGCAGGTGAGTTGAGGTACCAGATCCCTCACTGCAAATTTGTGATTACTGTTCCTTTTTTTCATCAGAGGTATAAAATAGATAACTTGAGATACCGAACCTCTTATAAAACAAAACGTTTTGTCCCCTTATGCGTCCCGCTCAGAATTTGATAAAAAAAAACACTGATTTTTAAATGAAATTATCCCACAACCATTGAGTGCTACCTCCACCAAATTAGGACTCCTAAGTATCCCCTCCTTACAAACTGGAACATAGTTTATTCCACTGGTAAGGGAAATGAATCCAGATTCTAACTTCTAACTTTTCCCTGGTATTAGAATGACCGTAACCTCTCCGATCAGTTGAATAATATTATTCTGTAGATCCATAATAATGTTGCATGCTCTTCCATTACTCTCCACAGGGAACCGTATTTGCATTGGCCGCCATCTTGCTCGGATGGAGATGTACCTTCTCTTCACCCATTTGTTGCATCGGTTCAACTTCCGGAAGGTCGACGGTTCCCCGCCCCTCGATTTCCGGGGTCACGGGAGCTTCGCGCGCGTTCCTGACCTTTACCTACTACGGGCTACAGAGCGCCACCAGGAGGGTGAATCATAAATTCAAAATAATGAGACATTGAAACACTCTTTACTAAGAGATCGGGAAGTGCGTGGTGTACGTTGTATTGCATTGTGGAAAGGTTTGCGGTTGAGTAGGGACTTCCATTATTAAAGGGATATTACGGCCTGGAATGCGCTCAATTGGGCTAAAAACGCGTCTTAAACAAAATGTTATATTTATTTGAAATAGCATTTAAAAGTAGGATATAAACGTCCACCCAACCATCCTTCATTATTGTGTTCGTCATATCTCAAATAGGCTAATTATAAGGTCCCAACCTCGTCCCCAGAGCTTACTTTGTTTTCAACCTCGTTTCCAATAGTAAGCCCTGGGTTTGACTTTCTTCCTGTATCCTGATTCGATACGGCAATTAGCAATGGATTTTTATCGAGTACTTGGTGGTGTTACTCCCAAAGTGTATTTACGTTCATTTTAATTATACGTCCGCACCTTCTCAAAAACAGTCCTTTCCTTTCCAATTTGCTCATAATTAATATGCAATGTGATACTGCATATTGGCTTGATAAGGTCGTAACATCATAACTTCATGTTTTACGCAACCAACAATTTTGGATATGCAAACGATCCATTACGAGGGTGTGACGGGAGCGTACTGCTCGACACCATGTGAACGAGGTTCATAAGGTCCAGATAATTAACATGACATGGCCTGATCGATAATAATATGGGAAATCACTTGATTTCTCTTGTCTTATCATATATCATTGAAGACTTCTAGATACCAGTCCCGTTCGTTTGTATATACACTGCTTCTTAGTTATCGATTGTACAACATTGATATTTGTGCAACAAAATAAATTATAATTGGGCAACAGGACTTACCATAGTTTTAGGCTCCACATTGAAATCAAGTCCAGCTCAGAAACTCTGTCCCCGGTGCGTAATGTGCCGGCTACAAAATCCTCAGTTGTAGCAAGTGAACGTCTTCCCAAGTCAGTATGTACGGCCATCATGGAGCAAGAAAAACACGACGTAGATCCCTTGACCTGATTGAATCAGTGTTTTAAATCTCACCCCTTCTCGTTACGTAAAACGATCCAATCGCGCAACCAGTGTAACATTCTTGTCCTTTCTTAAATACCGATGCCAAGAGGACAATAATGGCATTCTTCTCTAAGGAATTGTGAATACGACCAAAAGAAATAAAGAAAGAAAATTAACAATAGACCTTATGCGTTAGGGCGGAGTCAGAGGGCAGTGGTTTTGTATCATCAGATGGGCGTGAGTAAACCGTTTGCGCATCCATTGTTTCACAAAGAACAAAGAACAATATTTTGAGATATCTGCAGTGCAAAACGGCTGTAAATAGACCTAAGACCTAATGACGTACTGGCTTTGTTTACATATGCGCTTTCCTATGGGAGCGAAGTCAGGACGCCAGACGAAGTAGGGACCGTCTGCCTTATAGGGAAAAAAACGCACATGTCAACAAAGCGTGACGTCATTAGGTCTCAGGCCTATTGAAGGGACCGTAGGTTATTATAATTGAAGCAAAATCTACAGAACCATTGTTGTAAATGCATGGCATAGTTGCATGACTATTTAATTGTTTTTTTTATATTTCAATTTATTGATATATTGAAGATATAAAAACCCTGTGCCCAAAACAAATGAGAATAAAATACCTTTGATTTCAAAACAATTTTGTTTTTAAATTAATGTAGGAATCAGATACAGTAGTTTCGTGTTTTTTGTGAGCTATATTCCTGTAGCTTTATTGACAGGTATAACACATGTTAGTGTTTGTTTTCAACGCTCAAAGGAGATGATTATTTTAAAACTATTTCTGCATGTAAAATAGTTTCTTGTAGAAGATGAAAATCAAATTCTTGTCTTGTAATGTCACGCTGTAAAATATCACAACAAAATTGTGAAAGATGGTTGTAATTTTAAAATGTTATGGAGATGGCATGTCAATTTACATTATGTAGTCTAGTTTTAAAACGTTAGTTGCAAATAAATTTGATCTGGTTACCTTAAGAAGTCACTAAATTCATTGTGTGTTTGCTTAAACATTACACTTTTATTATGTTTATAAAAATGGTGTTAATGTCTCCAATTTACAATTTTAATAGCTGTTATAATTGCAATGTATTAAAACAATCTAAGCAAAAATAGTATTCGCTTTGCTAGTCACTGTTTAATTGGAAAGTTTAAGTGCTTATTCTAAAAAGCTTCATTATTTCTAGAATATGTTCTTAATTGGATGGTTTTTTTTTTAAAGTTAATTCCAGATTGAGTCTTTGAAATCTGAGTTGCATTCCTAAAATCTTTGTTCACACTGATATGGAAAATCAAAACAAATCAAAAGTAATTGACACTTATAAAGAAATAGAAAAAACACGACAAAACATCTTCTCAAATCCCCACACCGATTGAAAGCATGACCACTACAGCTCAAAATGACGAATGTCACATAAAAGTATAACAAAGAATTCTGTCCTCGAATTTAAGCGTTTTCGATGTTTAATTTTATTGCTTTACAGTAGCTTGTCTATTTTTTTCATTTTGTAATTTTTTTTTACAAATATGAATTTCAGGTGTAATCTTTCTTTTCTTAGAAAACTAGATAAAAAAACTGCATTGATACTATAATTGCCTTTTTTTCTGCAGAGCTCTTAAATAATTGGGATGCAAAGATTTGTTCATTGATTTTGTGAGTCAATTTCTGATCATGTTCCCATAGTATAGTCGTTTTTACTTTGGTGGTACCCAAACCTCGACTTATTCTTCAGCCTTGCCTGCACTGCACTCTAAAACATGTTAAGAAGGTGAAGATTGCATTTGTCCAATTCCTAAACATCAATGTTCAATCGCTAAACACTATCCTTCAATACTCTAAACAAATTTAGTATTTAAACGTGTTCAAAAAGTGAAAGCAAGAAAGTGTTTTGCTAAACCAAGTTCCTGCAGGGTGGCTCTAGAATCGTGCTGAAGCTGTTATGTCAAAACTAAATGGAAATGCTCAAAATCATAAGATGTAATAAACTGAAGCAGAAAAAAGACCTGTTATCAGGCCAGCGTCCCTAATATCAGGGTCTAACATCCTTCAAAATCCTAAGCTGGGACGAAGCCGATAAATGGAAAGCGCCTTTTATGTGTGTGTGCATGACGGGATATCAATGGGGCGGTTTACTCGCGCAAGGATATTTGCAACTCGAACTCGTCTGGCACACGAGCGAAGCTCCCATGACCCCGGAAGGAAAGCGGTGAACTGCCGACCTTTCGGAATTGGAAGCGATGCATGAGGTGAGTGAATAAGATGAAGATCTCCATCTTGGCCAGGTGCCGGCCGGGACAGATGCGATTACCTACGGAGAGAAGAAAGGTACATTTTTTGTATTGTCTATCATAAATCCTGTGTGAGTGGAAATATGAATTGACCTGTCACAAGACATGTGGATTAATTCACTTGTGACAGGACTTGTGATATAGGCCTCCTTTTGATCCCTAAAAAAGAAAGAACCTTTACTCCAAGACATTTTTTCTTTGACCGTGTGGTTACTGTACTTATTGGTAATTTTGGTGAAGTGACGTTTCGTCATGTCAGCTGAGTATTAATCATGATAGCCGTAATCTTTTGATCTTCATTTTTCTGGACCAACTTCAAAAGAAGTGGTGGCCGGATGTCATTTCATTCAGTAGATAATCTCAAGCTAGTCATATCATGCAGTTTCAATTAAGTCAAAGTGGCAAGTTATTCCACTAAAATGTAACTTATGATTTGACTTGTGACGAATTTATGAAGGATAAGCTCTGCTACTAAGTCCATTATAAGTCCTTCTCCTTACCTGCGCTAAACGACATTATCAGGTCATCGTTGACAATCTGATTCTTCTCATCAAGAAACCTCCCTGGCTTGAAGACACCGGGATTCTTCCAGATGTCAGGATCGTTGTGGATGGCCCAAGTATTTGGAATGACCGTGGATTGTGCTGGGATGGTCCAGCTGCGGTATGGCACATCACTGGCAGAAAAGTGCGCTACGCCCAGAGGCGTAACAGAACCAAGTCGCTGGATTTCAAGCAGGGTAGCCCGGGTGTAGGGAAGTAATGGTTCATCAGAGAGCGTAGGAAGACGCTCTCGACCGACTACTCTATCCAACTCGGCCTGGACTTGCGCCTGGACATCCAGTTTACCGATCATGAACAGTAGGGCCCATCTCATGGTCGTAGCGGTATTCTCCGTGCCAGCTGAGTACAGTTGTACCAAGGTCTCTGGGAGATTCGCATCGTTGACCTCACTAGGTGATCCCTGCTCACGCCTGCTGACTACCTCGTTAAGATACTCGTCTAGGAAATTTCGGAGGTTCCCGCGGTCCAGACGATCGCGGTGCTTCTTGATGATCTTGTGCATGTCGTCGAACTCCGAGCCCAGGATCTGAGAGAGGCGGATCCTAGACGGTAATGGGATCAGGTTGATGAGAGGTAAGCTATGAGTTGCTCCAGACGTGCCCATCAGGTGGGTGATCTCAGCCACCATGTCCAAATAATTCTTGTAATCAGCATCATCGTACTCGTGCTTAGTGCTGAACAAGATGTCAGTGATGATGTTAGAGACACAGAGCATCAGGTGGTGCTTCGGGTTGAAGACTTCTCCATTTAACTTCTCAAGCTCCCTAAGCAAGGCCCGGGCTTCGCTGGCGATGTTCTCCTCGAAGGCCGGTTTTCCTACGCCGTACTTCTCCAGAATTCGAATGGTGAAGACTCGTTGCTGTTTCCATCGTTCGCCATTTGCTAGAGCGACGCCTGTTTCAGGAAAATTTAAACATGTTTTAATTTCTTTCAAGTGCAAGTCAGACCTAAAAACTCACCCATTCACAAAAGTTAAGCTTCAAAACGTCTCTCTCCAATTCCACCATTAATATGAAGTAACACACATTTATATAATTTTGTCATAAAAACGTAAACTATGTGGCATATCGCTTATAGCCGCAGCAGTGACGTTTTTCAAATCTCGGCTTTTCTCTTCTGGGGTCCCTGACTTTGTGGGATTCCGATTAAAAAAAGGCCTGTAAAAAGCAAGTTACACTCAATTATCATGTGGCATACGTTTAGATTACTGTTATCTTTAAAAATGCTTTTGGAATATAAGAGTTGAAGCCACAGCCACAGAAAAAGCCGGGGTTTGCTAGTCCCAAATCCACAAAAGTGTCATCAAAGTAAATTGCACAAAATAAATATATTTTGGTGGCACAGGATAAAGTGTATTGAACTTCAGATTGTTCAGTGTTCCAAGGTTCAATTTCGCAACTTTGTGCGTGGACATATGCCGAGTACGTTTGGCCTGAAAGGCGTGTCACCGTACACACAGTAACCTGTTGTGCGCAGGGATGCGTAAATGATTTCCCTTTGTAAACCGTTTCTTTTGATAGGAAGTGAGGCATTATTATCGGCCTTGAAAAGGCCATAAATACTGATATTTTAAAACCTCGGGGAAAGTGGTTGAATTAATGAAATTTTTTATCATTTTCTCGACTGAATTAAAAACTGACAATTACTTATGCCCAGTTAATGTTGTACCAGACTAAAGGGTTTCCACATATATGATGACAGGCGGAAACAAAGGGCTCAAAAGTGTGTTCGGAAACAAAATCGAATAAATTATCTCTACACTTGTACAAATATGACCTACAATTTTTCACAGAAGCCAGAGATTACTATCAGGAGACTTAAAACTAACACTGGCCCACCTGTTCCGGTTGGGATGTTCTCGATGTGGATCTCTGGTCGGTCATTGAGCTCCTGTCGACTGAAGAGCTCTCTGACAGCCTGTGGATCCGACAACACTATTATCACTTTGCCGAACGCCGTGAAACTGAACACCTTGCCGTAGCGAGCCGCCAAGCGGGCCAGAGCTTCGTGCCGCTGTACCCCGCCAAAGCGACCAACGAGCAAGAAGTACGGGACCATACCGAGCCAAGGGAAACCCCACGGGCCTGGAGGCAGGTACCTAGCCTTGAAGATGACCCTTAAGGCCAACAAGATGACCAGGCAAAGGATCAGGGAATAGCTGATGCCCAAATTGTCGTGGATGTACCGTAGAGCTTCCATTTTGCGATGAAAGTAACTCCGTGTCTACTCTCTAGTTATCTCTACCGTATGGTCCTGTATACGTTGTGCAGTCATGTTCATGTACCGTAGATATTACAGAGCTCGTGAACTTCCCAGACGTCAACACTCAACTACGCATGCGCGAATCGCCAGAGCATTATGCATACATAATAGTGCATTAGATTTTACACCGATGCTATTGATCGCCTGTATTCAGCAGCCTATTTTATGGTATTTTATGTAAATTCGTTCACGACGAATGCAGGAGGTTTGCAAACTATCTATTATTGTATACAAATATTATCTTCCCATTGGGGCGGAACGTGTACAGAAGTACGTTGGTGATTCGATCAATGCACCTTCCACTCACGGCATGACCCTTCATGCACGCATTCGAGTTTGTTTGGTATACGTCACAGTCGACTCGGTTCAAAGGTTAATGTATTTTCCGTATGAAGCTCGATCATTTTCAACATCGACAGTCACTGAACTTGTCAACTGCGGAAGCATAATTATGTAGCCTACATGAATATACAGCAAGGACTTTCTTTTTATTTGTATGGTTGGGAAGGGCACAATGTTCCCGTCCCATGTATAATTCTTTGAGAAAAAAATATGTATGATACTGTTTGTAAAAGCAATGCAGAGTTCAGTATTTTATCGAGAAAAAAAAAACCGAATTGATTTTTCTCATGACTTCTAAGGATACAATTATTATGCATGATTTAGCCAAGTACATTTTGCTGTCGGCTAAGTTAAAAGAAATTATCTTATTAGTGTAAAATAAATAGGATCTTAGCTAACTCCAATGTCATGATTTAAACTTTAATTGTATATAAACCTTTGATGTAATCCTCCCCAGGGTAACAGGGTATGTTCCTTTGTGGAATAATACAAGAAAAAACAATATTATGAGGCCCGGCACGTAGAGGGACCATTTACAGTTCGGCAGTTGGCCACATAAGAAAATGGCAAAAGAGAAGAAACATGCACCGAAAAAAAATCATGAGGAAAGCATATAACTTGAAAGCAACTGTAACACATACAATACGCCAACATAATTTTTGCTTAATTAGCATTAAGCCTTAGTTTTCTTCCACCTGAAATTGAGCAGCAAAAATGCGTTTAAATTTTTTTAACGACGTTTTACTTGTTCAGACTCGAAGGCACTAAAGCCCTCTCTCTCCTCTCTGTAAGGATTTAAATCACCAGAGTTTAGGAATTCTGATGACTGTCAGAGCATGATTTATGTAAAATTCACAGAATTAAACTTAATTGTCTTTTAGAATTATTTCACCTCACGTGGCATCCCGACAACTTTCCCAAATGGTACTCCCACCCGTGCGAAAACACCTGGTGAAAGTGGTAATAAAAAGCATCCATTAAAAGATATATTATATACAAAATATTGCTTTATGTAAGCTCTAATTACCATCACCAAACTATTAAAATTGTAAAACTGTTACCCATTAACCACAAGTAGGCCTACAATATTACAACACTTCCAAAAAGATATAGTAATTTTCAAACACAAATTTTTATACTCAAGCTCTTATGCAAATTCATTCCGGATACAGAAGAGGCCCCAACTAGTCAGAGTTTGGCATTTACACGTTCACCTTAAACACATCCGTGATTTCGTAAACCTCTCTACGTGGTTACTTAACTTTTCTATTGAGACAGCGTGGCTTATTTACGCTCAGTCACTTCCACTTGAAAGTCGAGCGGCTCGCGAGCGAAGCTCCCATGTCCCTGGAAAGAAACAGGTGAATTGCCGACCTTCCGGAAGTGGAAGCGATGCATGAGGTGAGAAAAGAAGACGAATATCTCCATTCTGGCTAGGTGCCGCCCGACACACACGCGATTACCTATAATGTAAAGATATCAGAGAACTTGTGTTTGTAGTATGTTTTGGACGATATCAGTTTGGTTTTTTTTCAAATGCACAATGTCTCAAAAGCTTTTAATAATGCAACATACGTGGAGTATACCATCTATATGCTTACCTGCACTAAATGGGATGAGGCAAGCATCCTTGATGATCTCGTTGTCTTCTCCCAAGAATCTCTCAGGCTTGAATTCAGCCGGATCCTGCCAGATCTCAGGATCATTGTGGATGGCCCAAACGTTGCAAATGACTGTGGTGTCGGCTGGGATGGTCCACCCGCGGTAGGAAAAGGAACGGGACGAGCGGTGCGCCGCGCCCAGAGCAGCTGTGCTCGCGGCTCGCTGGATCTCAAGCATAGTAGCCCGGGTGTAAGGCAGTGAAGGCTCGTCAGCGAGCGTGGGGAGACGCTCCCGACCGACCACTCGGTCCAACTCGGCCTGGACTCTCGCCTGGACGTCCGGCTTACCGATCATGAACAGCAGGGACCATCTCAAAGTGGTGGAAATATTCTCAGTTCCGGCCAGGAACAGATGACTCAAATTCCTGTTGAGATTCTCTCTGCTAATCTCTGACTGTAATCCTTCCTCACATGTGCTTAGCATCTCATTCAGATACTCGTCCAGGTAATCACGGAGGTTCCCGCGGTCCAAAATGTCCAGGTGAGTCTTAATCATCCCCTCTATGGTGTTAGCTTCGTAGCTTAAGAGCTCAGCGAGGCGGATCCTAGACGGGGTGGGGATGTGGGACAATAGATATACGCTGTTAGCGGCCCCGGATGAGCCCATCAGATGTGTGATCTCTCTTATGGCATCCAAGTGCTTCATGTAATCAGCATCACCGTACTCATGCTTAGTACTAAACAAAAGCTCAGTGATGACGTTGGAGACGCAGAGCATCAGCAGGTGCTTAGGATCAAATGACTGCCCCTCTTTCTTAGCTATGACACTTAGCAGAGACCTGGCTTCCCTAGCGATCTTTTCCTCAAAGGCTGGCTTGCCAACCCCAAACTTATCCAGAATTCGGACGGTAAAGGCGCGCTGCTGCTTCCAGGCTTCACCGGATGCTGTAGCCAGACCTGTGATACATTAGACGGAGACAGCACACGTAATTTTCGGAATTTAAGCCATTATATTCCCAATATCTTCATAGATAGCTTTGCAGCCATATATATGCGAACCACTTAAAGTATTGTCTGAAGTGCCCGTAAATGTCGAGTGTGTGCCTGAAGTAACATTACAGCAACAGCGCCCTCTCGGGAAAGATTAACATTTTTAATTAATTAGTCTTTTGTCGACCCTGGTCAATAATTTATTTTATTACATGTTTGAAAAGAGCACAATCTCGGCATTACTGCTGTGAAAACTGCATGCTGATACCATCTTTAGTTAAAAATTATGGATGTTGGAACACCAAGCCATGTGATGAAGTGATGTGATGAAGTGGCCTTGTTTTGGATTGTATCTCCAAATAAAAATTCTCGACAAACGACTCATTCCGCTGGATCGCATTACAAATGATGAAAAAAAAGCTGAACTCACAGAAATTTAAACCAAAATGGTGTCTCAACTTTGTATGGTATTGAGGCAAAAATATTGGAAATTGCAGGTTTGAAATTCATCCTATGATGATCCCTGGAAGTTGTTATTATTTTAATTATTATTGCGGATCTGCTACGCTGCAGTGCATATGGTATTCAAATTATACGTCTGTCTGCTTGCATCAACGACGACACGCTGCCAACCTAGCTAATAAAAAACGTTAATGTGGTGGATACGTGACATATTTTGCATACGTGATAGGTTTTTAAAAGAAGTTAATTTACGTTTTCGGGTCATATGGTTGATAGTATGTCTACCATAATTTGTATTCTGTTGATGTATAGACATATGGATCATATTTTATTTAAATGGCTTTGATGTGATGTGGTTTTTTTTCAGAAACAAAAACCACACAGCAAAACACTTGGACAATCAAATTGAGAAACACTCTGATAAAGTCTTAAAAACATAACTTCATCAAATGCTTATGACAATTACGACAAGAATGGCATGCCTGAACGACGAACGTTAATTATGTTCGGCTCTTCTACTTCAACGGAAGGTTCGTGATCATGTAATAGTTATACCAGTCCAGCCATATTGAAACAAAAGCAAAATTTATCAGCTTTTCAAAAAGTTGTCTTATGATTCTGTAAATTTCAAAGATGATGTGGATTAGGTTTTGGTGTGCATTGCTTTTTGAATGCCACGAAAATCGATAAACCGAATCTTAAATCATACAATTGGGCTATACATCGTTCGTCATCTGCATGGTGATACAAATATAAATGAAACAACCTGAACAAAACAAAAATATATACGAGAACACGCAACAGGCCCTACCTTCTCCCTTTGGGCCATTTTTGATCCAAACTTTAGGCCTGTCGTTCAACTCTTGTCGACGGAAAACTTCTTCGACCGCCTCCTTGTTCGACAGCACAAGGACCAGTTTTCCAAGCACCGTGAAGCTAAACACCTTGCCGTAGCGAGCCGCCAAGTGGGCTAGAGCTTCGTGCCGTTGAACCCCGTCCAAGCGACCGACGAGCCAGAAGTACGGGACCATACCGAGCCAAGGGAAACCCCACGGGCCTGGAGGCAAGTACCTTGCCTTGAAGATGACCCTTAAGGCCAACAAGATGACCAGGCAAAGGATCACGGTGGTCATACCAACACTGCTACAAATGTACTTCAGCATCTCCATTTTGGACTTTTTGAATTCCTATCTATTGAAATGCAAGTATGCTGCTGGGCCTATTAAATTCTCCCAGGGACGTTTATAACCTCGTCGTCTATCTACTGCCTTAATCAGAATAATTTATCCAGCAGAGAACAATTATCACTCACAAATAGTTCTACCGTTGCTCATAGTGATTCTGAGTAGGCAATCGCAAACGTGATACAGTAATACAAACTGCGCATATGCACGCCCGTGTCGACACTACAGGGCGAGTCTTAAACTAATGTCCTTTTGGATAAGTCCATTTCAAAAACAGGGAAGGTTACAATTTTGTTCCCATTCAGCCATCACTCGATCAGGGACTGTGGGTATGTGGGTATTGACCACAGTCAGTACAACTTTCACTGATATTCAGCCATTCATGAAAAGGATCAAGGCATTTGTTTGCGACTTCCCCCCAAAACACAACCAATTTGATTTAATCCTGTTATTTTTAAGGGGATAGTTGTTTAAGGGCCAGTACACTGCTAGACAGAACGTACATTTAATTCAAAGTAGCCATGGCAAGGCCACTGTCCTAAGCGCATTATATGGTCAGAACGTCTTATGAAACAACTAGCACACAAGACACCATACGTCAATTCGGAGAATACTTCCGGAGGTATGGCAGCCGATAATACTCGGATCGAATGATTGCTACCCGGTAACCTTTCCCGTTTATTTGTGGGAGGCAAGGACTTATCAAAATGGACCTTTTTTGTACACATCCCCTGTGTACAGGTGAATAATTGCAAAACAATTATACGAAACCGCTGTTTAACATACGGTACTTTTTTTTATTATGCCATAAAAAATATCAATTGCATATAGCTTTGTCGTACCTAATAGCATGCATAAAATGACAGGGTACATGTATATATTTGCGAATATGACTAAGGCACATAAGGGCACAATAGTGAGATGCGCTACGAATGCCAATCAACGATACTATTAATTTATAAAATGTTTTAAGAATAACAGTTTTAGGTTGCAGATAAAAGACATGTGCAAGGCACTTTATGGTTAGTATCAACAAATCTTTCGGTAAATTCGAAGCTCCTTGAAGTCCAAAATGTGAGTGACGTTCGCTCTCACAATCAAGGAAAACAATCGATATACGGGATTAGCACGCACCGAAGCTCTGCATAAATGTATCATTAGTAGACTTGTGTATACAATGCAATGCACACTCACATGCAAGAAATCTAACTTAATTCGAATATGCTTCTAGGTTAAACAAATTATCTAACTTCAACTTAGATAAAAAAAAAAGAGTACAGGTTACAGATTCGGTGTACATGAACAAATCATCAAAATTACATCGTATACCTGCAGCATATAACAATAATAACAATGCATAAGAATCGCAGTGTGTAGCAGCTGTTAAAAAAAGTAACGGAATTTATCAGAACAATTTTATTCTGCAATAGAAACAATTAAAATCCAGTTGCAAGTGTATTTTAAAGGCACTCTTTATGTATTTAATGAAGCAAATATCGCAGTCTATTAAGGCACTTTTCGTATAATTGCATCATGTCTACCTACGCTTGCCTATTAAGTATTGCGACGTGTGACTATAAGGCACGTTTTAGGTAATCTAGCGCATCTCAAAGACATTACTTTGGTTTCTCAGTGTAGCAAGCATTGAAAACTTTGTAAGGCACTACGTACGTTTTAATTTAAGAATATTTCTTGCTACGGTTGAATGCATACTTGTTGTGGAACGTTCATGAAATTCAAGCTTTTCAAACAAGTAAACATGGATCCAGAAATTGTTATAATTACATTGTATGTCAATAACGAGTCACAATATCTATAAGGAAAGCTAATTTCCAGTGGAAGCATCAATATCTATACAGTTAAACTCATTGAATACCTGGTGGCCGTAGCAGAGCGAACATTGTAGATACCTACAGAGAAACGTATTACAGTGACGTCACCTCAAGCTCTTCCAGGAAGTCTGGTACCCTTCCCATGCCGAAGTCTACCAGTGGAGTGCTGTCAGATGAAGCCGAGGAACTACTCCGGTCTTCGACTCGGTCCGATAAATCAAAGTGGACTGATTTGGGCGTGGTTGGGGTCCGTAGTGGCTCTGTCTCTGGTTCCTCTGGCTCTTGCCCCTCTGAAGGTGGCTCTTGGGTAACGTCGTCTTGGTTTGATTTGTCACCCTCCTTGTCATCTGACGTGCTTTTCGGAGTGTCGTCAGAGTTCCCGTCTGACTCATTACCCGGCTTGTCGTTTTGTTTGTCAGCTACGTTGTCATCTGACTTGTTATCCACTTTGTCATTTGCCTTTTCATCTGTCTTGTCATCAGCCTTGTCATCTGACTGGTCATCTGATTTATCTGACTTGGCATCTATCTTGTCCTCTGTCTTGTCATCCGACTTGTCATCTGACTTGTCATCTGACTTGTCATTCGATTTGTCATCCGACATGTCATCTGACTTGTCATCTGACTTGTCATCTGACCTGTCATCTGACTTGTCATCCGACTTGTCCTCTGTCTTGTCTTCCGACTTGTCATCCGACTTGTCATCCGACTTGTCATCCGACTTGTCATCTGACTTGTCATCCGACTTGTCATCTGACTTGTCATCCGACTTGTCATCATCCTGACCTTCCTGTTCATTCATTGCCTCGGTGCTAGCAGGCAGTGCTTGAGCCACGTCAGAACCAGGACCTTCACCACTGTATTCTGTAGTCTTGATATGGGCATAGTCGGAGATTCCAGGCTCATCCTCGGAATCTTCATACTCCAAGAAGTCAAACACAAGTTCCTGTGTAAAAGAATAAATCAAACACTTAAAATCTTGAAAATGGTAAATTATCCCTTTAATATAGAGTCTACCTTTTTACCTGTTTACACATGCCACTAAATCTATACTTGAGATAAATTTCCAGATCCTTTGAGAAGCGCCCTCACCTGTGATTCATAGTACTCCGGACCCTTCTGCAGTGGAGAAACTGGGACTTCAGCGACGTCTATAAAAGAGAGCAAGAATGAGCATTATGAAGTGAAAGTAACAAACTATTTCAGAATGTGTGAAGTTGAATGGGGCGGGATTTGTTGATTGAGCTACAGTTTCATCTGACATCCACAATATACAAAGACCCAATCAAATGAGATTCAATGTTTAACACTCACTGGTAGTTACGTATCTTGGTTCTTCCTCGACCTCCGTTTCTATAGCAACCTCAGCTTCACAAATTTTAGCCTCCTCCTCGACTTCACTGACATGCCTGCAGTTACGTGATACAATCAGATAACCTTTGATTCCTCGATATGGCAGATAAATAATCATATAGATGACAAGCAGTCTCAGTTTGAACAGTAATATGAGGTGAAACAAAAAAAGTGACTACAGGTGAATGGGAACCTGTGACCTAGCTCCTGAACACACTACTCGCTCTCTACTTACTAAGCTATCCAAACTACGTTGGATGTCTCCTAATTTGTCACTGTTTTGCTCAGGGAATACTCGTCAGAAGTCACCAAGTCAGGATGACATCAAAAAGTAACAATCTCACTAAACTGACAACTTTTCAAGCCTTGATAATGCACAGAGGATGCAGATTTTGCTTTCAAGGATCATTTTATCAATCTAATATTTTGTTCATTCTAACACATAAAGTCAGTCCCTTAGTGTACTTTATTCGACCGTCTAAATTTGGACTTTGGACACGCCCTTCCACCAAATCGAGCTTGATTGAAAAGGGGCGTGGCTTACGCAACAGACGCCTCCTCAACCGATTGGTCGTCTTCGAATGCTGGATTGTCAGTCCCGAACTCGTACTGGTGCTCGTCCTTCTCCGTCAACATCAACATGTCCAACTTGCGGGAAATCTGACGGCCTCCTTGAAGTTTCACGCTGACACAAAATGGTACAACAATCAATAATTAACAGGTGTATTTGGACAGGTGGCTTGTGCTGTTCTGAAATGTGACTTGTTATTGTGACATTAGGGGTAGGTGGGCATTGTCAAGTTGGCATATTGATACTCTCCTCATCTACAATCGCTGCGACCTGGCTGATATGTGGATTAGGTCCCTTCCTGATTCCATAAGTGTTCATTAGAATTCGCATCTGGGATTTCCCAGTGTCTAAATCTGGACATTAATCTAATATGATTTCTCCAGAGGTTTCTGGGCTTCTGAGCTATGTGCCATGAAAGCGCTTTGCAGGGAACTTTTGTTTGATTACTAGAAACAAATGATTTTGTTTTTATTAACTTACTCCTTCCACATGTAGATAACGGCAACAATCATCAGGATTGAAGCAACACCGATGCAACCTGCAAGTATCAGTAAAGCTATCCCGACGATCAAGGAGACATCATACTCCTGATTCGCAACAGCTGACGGTCGGACAGGTTGTATGTTGATGTCCGGGCTACAATCAGAAACGGCCGAGCTGGCGGAGTCCCATTTCCTATTCACACAAGAAGAAAAAATCGTAAATTTCAATCAATCTCTTGCTGGATCAACCAAATTGCAATGTAACTTGGGATTTGACTAAAGGTATTCGACATATGGGAAGAACAATACTTGACATGCATTATAGTTGGTGAAATATTCAGGCATGGTTTTCAAAAGGTCGAGATTCAAATGCCTTTCAAGTTTACTGTCTTATAACTAAAATTATGATTGATCTTACGCTTTGATATCCCAGTACTTGAGAAACGAGCCGCCATCTATACTCACATCTACTGCATACACCCACAGGTCAGTTCTGCAACAACAACACAATATTTAAATACTTTTACAAAAATATTACAAAATAAAATTCTAGACTAAAAAACATGTCAATTTTCTTGTTCGAAATATTATATACATTTTTTAGATGAAAAACTGAAGAAAATATTTTCAGTTAAAAAAAAATACAAAATGTAAACTCAAATGTCAACTTTTTCAACATGCTTACAGAGTAATACAATTAAACAAGAAAATGTATAACTTCATCATTTCATATCTGATACATTTGTTATGAAAATTAAAATATTAATATTTGACGAATACCTCTTGTTATCGACTGTAGGTGCAGCATTTGCATTCATCACAATATGAGCTTCGAGTCTTTCTGCCACCAGACTTACACCCAGACTGCTCGACAGACAACTGGTATCAGAATAAACAAGAAAGGAGTAAGTCATACAAACAATAACTAAGGGTACTGTCTAAAAAGAGGTCCCAGTATACAAGAATCAAACAGGTGAGCGCTGTTCAATCGTAGGACACCCTATTCATAATGGACACATTGTGGCAGCTATTACAATTCAAATATGCAAAAAAAAATAAAAGAAAAACCTCATTTTTTCCTGGTTTAAAATTCTCATTTAGCGTGAGTCTTTTCGCATTATGTGTCTGCAAACATTTTTACTCAAATTTGTACTATCCACTGTGCAAAGTCATGTATAAAATTTAATATCCTTAAAAGGCAGATACTTACTTAAGAAGCACCGTTTGCTCATTTTCTACCTCTGTTGGGGTTTTCTCGATCACCAGAATGGCAGACTCAAAGGTGAAAAGCACTTTTATCTGGAAATCAAGGAGAATGTGTAATGAGCAATCAAATGAAGGCACCAAGGTAGAAATACATCAATATCAAACGCGATCCTCATACATATGCATAAGGTGTAAGAGTAAATATGCATACCAACCTTAGCTTGAACCTCGGCTGATGCTTTGCTCGCGTCACCCGTTGTCAGGGTGTCAGTGACCTTGAATGTGACGTCATAAACCGCTTGCTCTTTTTTCGGGTCGACACTTGCATCATCTAAGTAATTGGCGACAATGTCGTCGACCCGGAGAATGCCAGTGGATTGATTGAGGAAGAATTTGGGTAGATTTTTGTCATCCGATTCCAAGGTGTACTCCAAGGCCGATGTGGCATCTGCGTCCGTGGCCTGAAAAGGAAGGGCATCATTCTTATCAGATCGTACTCCAGGTATTGGTAAGAGATTCATCTTAAAGGAAGTACAGTTACAACTTGCTCAAACAGGTACTAGATCCAGAGCTAGCATCTGAGCTCGTGCCAAAACTAGTTCAAGTAGCCTGAAGGCTGGGTTTAGGGCTGGGCCCACAACTGGATCCACAGCAAAGTCCAAATGTGGTTTCAGAGATTGTATTTCAGTTGGTACCAAGACTTACTCAATATTGGGTTTTGCCCGTCACTGCCGTATTTTATAAACACTGTATACTCAAGGGCGGATCCAGAACACCATTTTTTGGGGGGCCCAAAAAAAAATTTGGTCCCCCCAAAAAGTAGGTCCAAAAAATTACGGCGTGGGGTTCGGGGCCCGCTTAAGAGCCCCGAAATTTTTTTGGATTCTAGATGCTCTGTGGTGCGATCTGAGGCAATTTGTGACCACTTTAACCAATTTTTTTTTGAGGAAAAGATGGTGGTGTACTCATTGCCTGCCTTTATTGCGATGTTACATAAAAAAAAAAAAATTGGTTTCGTTTTTTTTTTTTGGGGGGGGGGCATGGCCCCCTTTGGCCCCCCCCCGATCCGCCCTTGTGTATACTCAATGTTGCTCAAGCTTGCTCAAGCAGTCTCAGTGTCCCACAGGTGTTGCAGCTAAATCCAGAAGTGGTTCCAGAGCTACCTGGATGTAGAGCTACCTCCACGACTAGCCCTGGAATTCTCTCATTGGCGAGCTACAGAGGTGGCTCTATAGCCGCTATTTTCAAGAAAAAGATGCCAATAGAGCTTTACCTGAAGCAAAAAGATGCTGGCGCCATATTTGGTGTCATCTAGGATACCGATGAGAAATTTGTTGGCGCCATCTATGAAGTCCTTCTTAATCACAGGAGCGGCATCGTTGACGTCACTGACGAAAAGTCGTATGACGACAGTGCTGAAATCTGGACTGTTCTCGGCTGGGTATTGCAATCATTCCAACATTGAAACTTAGGACGATAAACTTGTGGAGACAGTTTTCCGATGAATAATGACAGGAAGTAATGGGCAAAGTAAGAGCTCGAGTTCTCAACGGCCGTCCACATGAACTGTGGTCCACTTTTAAAGGCTTCGAGAAGGCATTGCCTCAACCGCTTTAGGTAATGTTTTGGCCATAAGAGCGGAGTTGTAACTCATTTATTTAAAGTGGATTAAATGGAATTGAGAAGGGCTACACATACTCTATATTACTATTATGTACCATATACATGTCGTGTCTAACAAAATTGGGGATATTTGAGAATTCAGAATTCTTGGCTAAAAATGCCCTGAAAAGTTAGGATAACTGGACATTTTACCACCCTGAAACAAAAAAAAACATACCTTCTATTTCAGCCTGTCTCTTAATCCTTGCCTGGTTGGCGGAAGTGCAAACCTCCACCGTTGTGTTGCAAGAGCTTGCCTGTACAGTGATGGAGTATTCCGCATCAGTTTCTCGATCTAGAGCTTCAATTGTGCAGAGCATTGGAGAATAAGGGTCTGTGACATTCAGGGCGAACTTGGACTCGGCTGGACCAAAACAAGAGATCAAGTGAAATTATCTCATAAATGAAATGCAATATCAGAAAGAAAGCAGTGACGCAGGAAAAAATATACGGTTAATATTTATTTTCATAATTAACCTATCGTAGAATAGCGTCGACGCGGCTTGTGAAATACAAATGTATTATCCAATGACATGATATTAAAATGAACGCGGAACGCGCAAAATCTGAAACAAACAAAACTCAACGCACACAAATTCCAAAAGAGTTGTCTAAGGGGCGTGGCAACTCGCAAACGGCGACAGGTCAAATGAAAACTTGTCGTTCAGGAAAAATTATAAACATAGCACAAACAAAACTTGGCAAATTGCCATCGAGGGAAAACAAATACACATAAAGTTATAAATTACAAGCATATATGATGAAAACAAAATTGTGTACTGAGCTCCTTTTTATACATGGGAGATAAAAAAAATAAACAAAATGTGATGGAAGTCTAGGAGGATAATCAGAACGGGAAAATTCAAAGACAGGACCGTCAAGAAGACCTGGTAGATTTCCAACACGTATGCCTGAAGACATCTTTCTTACCAGATGGTGGATCGACAGCTAGAATACTGTAAACAACTCTGATTGCTGGGTCTTCAGGAATGACCGGCCTAGCGAATGGGCTGCACCATGCAGCTGCATTCTCAGGTATCGACGTCCTGCAGATTAACAGAGACAATGATTTGTTTAAAATAATTTTAATTTGCTAGGTTAAGCTTGAAATGTTTAACAAAAGAAGACATCTGGAGTGATAGGAATACATCCTAACTATTTACATAGCTAATCAGTCTCAAAGAACTTAAACAGGAGAAGTTTAAAAATTACTGATGTTCGGCAGTGTCCAAGGAATTAACCCTTTTCCCAATTATGCACTGTGGGTATAACACCGTAAAAGAGGAATGAAACACTGTTGGGAAATGCTATTTTCCCAAAATTGTTGACGAACCATTGGGACGAATTTGCCCAAGAATGTAGGCAGTTGGTACGTTCTGTTTTAATACCGAAGAGGTAATTAGCTTAACTAACTCTTGTTGTCTGTCCTCTTCATAGAAGTATGGCTCGTCCTGGAAGGTACGATCAATGATGATGGGGACGCGAGCTGGTTCAGGGGATGTCTGCGGTGGAGAACCTTCATCACGTGCATCCACACGGATCTTAAAGGAACAGGAGTCAGAGAAGGGCTTCTCAGGTTCATATAAGACTTTTTATAACATCATCACACACTGGGAACCTGACAACGTTCATTTGGTGTTTTATAGCTCCATGGTTACACAGATGTGAAGATTTGACCTCGAACAGACTGGACTAATGTTGTACTATCCTAGCCATCCCGCACTTGGATTCTGACTTGCGTCCGTAAACTTGACATTGATAAGTTCGGAAACCATTATGACAGTGCTGGAACGTTCAGTTGACAGAGCGCTGTACATTGTGTACAACTTTATTAATAGCTGGAAAACTGCCTTGGCACTTAACAAAACATGCTGCAGGCCTAGTTCTGTTAATTTGATGATCAAATAATCTTAACAGTTAAAATTAACAAAACTGGCATTGTAGGAAAATCACCAGTTGTGCTCTTGTACAATTCCCCCTTTTACTGATATGCAAGCCTTTAGTCTTTTTAAATACAATCTTACCGTTATACTGTTCGCTTCTCCAAACTCTTCATCGGTGTAACCAGTCACGTTTGATGTCCTGATCTGACCAGTGTTCGCATCGATAGTGAAATACTGGAGCATATTTATATCTTGTCCTGGCGTAAATGAATACACGACGGCACCGTTGTACTCGGTCTAAAAAATGGAATACAAAAATCCAAGTTACTTAAATACCAAAAGCAGTAGTAAGCAGACACCTTGCCCCATGAAGACGAAAAACCAGAAAATGTCAGCTCTACGTAAGGGCCACTTTTCAAAATTCGCGTTCGACTCCATAGCAGGTATTAAATCCCCTTCGTTGTTCATGAGTGAGACATAATTAAAACAATAAATCTATTCACCAAAAAGACAACTAAGAATTAAAAAAAACTGAGATGTTCCTGTTGCTAAGGCCTATAAAAGTATATAAAAAAAATCTACTGTTTATCCCAAGCAGAAGCGCTTCCCTATTGTGAATTGCTCGATGGAAACACCGAAATTTTCAAATCTTATTTGAATCATTGATCTCACCACGTCCACGTCGATAGCAGTGACGGTCCCCATGTTGGCATACGACGGTAAATAAGGAAGCCGCACAGGAGGGTAATCCACGGGGTCAAAGGTCGGAGCATTGTCATTCAGATCCCGGATGATAAAAGTGACGACCGTCGAGCCGAAAAGTTGAAGTTCTGCTTCTGGGTTGGTCGCGTTGACAGTCAGACTGATTGTACGGGACGTGTAGTTGGTGTTTTCGGCATCGATGCAGCGGATCTTGACGATCAGTCCAGTGGACGGGTTGATGTCGAAATCCTCACTGCCACCTGGAATGAGAAAATGATCCATTTTCAAACCTTCGAAAGAGGACTTTTTGATGTGACTATACTAATAAAGTTCATCAAGAGAATGTAGCTTGATTTTGGGAGGATATTGAATACTGATTTTGGAACGTATTCAGTACAATGTTGCGATGTACACATTAGGTCCAGCAAGTTACTCCGGAGACAACATCAATATTTTGTGATAATTAGCTATTAAAATGACTGTGTTATCATACCAACGATAGAGTACTGGATGATGTTATTCTCTGGTGTGGAATCGGCGTCTGTTGCAACGATAGACCATTCACGCTCGGCGCAGTCAGTATCGTCAGTGTCTTCATCAAACTCAAAGATGTAGTCCTGCTGTACGGAGATCAAAAATAGATATTGTGGTAAATTGTACACGACATGAGGGCCCTATATGACATGTTCCTTACCTGTAGAGAGCGCTACACCAATAATACAAGATCTTACCTGTGCAAATACTGGGGGATTGTCGTTGATATCAACAACCTGTACAGTAACAACGGTGAAACTTTCCGGTCCAGACTCGCTAGTCCTCGCGAACACAAGTAGCTGTGGGGGAAACAATGTTGTGACATTATCAATAAATCACCCATTCCAGAACCATAAGCGACTATCAAAATGATCTTTCGCAAGGGTGACTGGAAAATCACCAATAACAACAATATCATGATTTTATCTCCTAATTCGCCCGACTGGTCCCTTCAAATAAATTGGGAGAAGGTGGATGATTTCACAGACTTAAGAGCCGTTAGCTAATCCATGATGATGAGACTTGATATAGCTCTAAAAAGTTTAATCTTAAAACGTTCTGCTGTCCTCCTGCATAGCAAATGTTTTCAGGATGCAGGACGTTTCCTAGCAAAATATCCAGGGAGTGTGGTTTACCGATGAGAGAATTGTAGGGTCCACTAACGAAAAAGAAGTTTACAGAAGCACTCACTTCAAATAGTCTGTCGTCTGCGTCGTAATCGAAGGGCCTCGTCGTGTAGATATCCCCGGTCTGGGAGCCCAGCGAGAAGTTCCCTGGTTCCAGACCATTGAATCTGTAGATGACTGGTTGTCCGTCCCAAGACACAGCCTCAAGGGCACACACGAGAACGTCTACTTCTAGTTGCTGCAACAAAAAGGCAAAAATTGTTTTAAAAAACCACGATGTGAATGACTTGCATCCGACAGAAGCAAAGAGTTGTAGATGCTAGTTGACACATTTTACGGATTTCTCGATGAAAAGGAACGAAAATGTGCGTCAGTAAAATGTCCTTTAGTTATCCTCATTGGAAGCTTGGATAGCGCCCTCTTCAGATTACACACGGAGTCATTAATCAACCAACCGCTCAGTTTCAGACGAGTAAATTCTTACCTCGTCAATCAGGACAGGTGTCTTGCATTCCTTGACGAACGTTGGAGGACTGGTGCTCGCTCGCCGGAAGGAGATACTCACGAGCGCTGTGTCATTGAGGGAAGTCAGCGCTCGATCCTGGACTCGTACCGTTACATTGACCGATTGATCGGTGAGGGTTGTCGAGTCGACAGCCAGGAAGAGCTTACCATCAGGTGTAACTCGGATGATATCTGAACATGGAAGGACATTTTCTGATCCTCTAAAGAGTTTATGTTTATGGCAATGCAACTATCAATAGGGTTTTGCCTTTCACCAAATTTGTTAAAAGTAATAGGTTGAGCACTTTGTAAGAAATCGCAAGGAGAAAAAATGGCGTCGATATAGCGAATTATTTTAATTAAAAGTCCGGCTAATGAGTACCTGTCTGATCGTCAGCACATCCACTACAATCCTCTGCCAGTTTGTCAAACTCCAACTCGCCGTTACCGTACGCTGGATAATCCTGGTCCGTCACATTCTTACTCAGATCGAACAGTTCCACGTCTCCCTCTATCGGCAGGATTAGAGTCGGGACCACGAATTTTTGGAGGAGAATTCAGGTGCTACATTGTCATCGGAAACCAACCTCACTTCAACCTGTACAATTGGGTAAAATGAATTCTAATATTGCTTTCTCCGTTTAACACAACCTTTTGTTTTTAAAATACCATCAGATGGAGAAATGTATCTTAAGAAATAGAAGAGTACAATTAAGGATCATTTAATCCAGTCAGACCTTGGTGTATGCTCGGATGCTATTGTTGACGTCGGAGCTGTTGAACATTTCTAGAGTGATGTCGTAGAGTCCAGAGGAAGCCGATGAACTACCCGTCAACCAGCCACTCATCTCATCGATGGAAAAGAGGTCGGAGTCGACAGCGGGATTTTGGTCGCGGTCTGTTTAACAAAGGAAAGCATTGATGGAACTTCGTAATTCTCTTACCAAATGTCAAAGTACATCACATTGATTTAGACTAAAATCAAGAAAATAATCAATTTCTAGTTTGACCAGCCTATTTTTTTATGCTTTAAGATAGAACCACTTTCCGGTGAAAAAGGTTGAATACAGTCTTTTATCAAAATGGAACTGAAACCTTTAAAATTTTTAAGAAAAAAAATGGTAAAAGAGAGGGCAAATTTAGTCTGATCTTATGGGAAAGATTGAAATTCCAAATGTCGCCAAAATGTCTTTTACAGGTGAAGTCACTATATCCTTCCTATCTCGGAGTGGGTCTAGCTGCATAATTTAGGGAGCAACACGTGTTAGACTGGGAATCAAAGGACGAATGGTCAGAATAATTCCTTGAGACATAATACCATGGAACAAACATCTGAGATGTTTAATTAACCAATTTCGGCATTAGTCTTGTCCTCCCCAGCAAATATTTTTTCAGAACCCTTAAATGATGAAGCTGATACATCTACCTGATCTGTACGTCTCCGCCACTTTCGCAAATTCAATGAAGTCTATGTCTTGATCATCAGCGCACGTGTAGTTCACCATCATCTGAATGACTAGGAAATCCGTAACGTTATCAGGTGCAGCAAACGTCAGGCTTGGGTTCTGCGGCTCAAACTGTAAGCACTGAAGCTCCCCGGCAAAGACCCTCAGACTGATAGTACTGCGAGGGTCCTGGAGATTCGGCTCGTCTGGATTCTTGACTCCAATGTCGATGATGTAAGGTTGAGTGGAGTCGACCAGCTGGCTCCTGACGAAGACGTCGCAACCATTTTCTATGTTTAAAGAAGGGAACGAAGTGCAGCGATGTTTATTATTCGAGTAAGAACAATCCTTTCCGATCAAAAACTTAAAAGGTATTTTATTGGTCAGGTGTAATAATCAGTTGAATTAGAATTACAACTCAAAGCTTGTGAAGTAATACCTGTTGGTTCAACTATAAACGAGTCTCTATCCTTGCCACTTGTAGTGTATACAAAGAAGTTTGGGAGCTCGTCTGGGTCTCTGACTGTTAGACTCACAACCTGCACAAAAAAATGAAAACGATTTGACTCATGAAAAAAAGATACTTTAGTCACATTTGGCCAGCGCCAGAATTAATGATGACCAGCTTTAGGTCACGTCCAACAGACCGATGACCTAATCGTCATTGTTCAATCCTTATTTGTGCCAGTTTCTTTATTAAGATCTCACGATAGTTGCCATGTATAAGATGTAGCCTTACCAGGCTGCCCGAGTCGTGGGAAGCTTCGTCTTCCAAGACAATGTCCATGTTTGATTGGTCGAACACAGGCGGGTTGTCGTTCACGTCAGTCAAGATGACCCGAAGTTGCAGAGTGGCATTGAGTTGCGGCGTTCCAGAGTCGCTTGCCTGCAATGTCGAAAAAAACCAAGCAGCATTGGCATAAACAAATTTCAGTGTAAAAAAAACCAAAACTGTTAATGTAAAGGTGGCAGGATCCATCATTTGGTTGTGCAGTACTTCAATCGATACGATAGTCGTAGTCACGTCCACGGTCCTCAGGAGTCAGTTACTCGTCAATCGCAAAGGTCTCCACGTATAGTCTCAAATCAAGTCATATAATTGCTACGTGAATAAACTGCGACAAAGGCATTCCATTGAGGCGGTGTAAGAAGTACTTGATAACGGCTGGAAATTATACACTCGCCTTTGGAATAATAACAGCGGCTGCAGCTACTTCCCAGGGCTCCATGGGTTATTTCCAGCAGAAGCCAAGCTGATGGATGATTTGGCTTGAGATAGACTCAATACAAGTCACTCTTATGTGTTTCATGTTTGGGAAAAATTGTAGCTTACATATATGGCACTTTTTTCAATTCTTTGCATTCTTATAAAAAATATCTTCGTCTTGGTCTTAGCAAACCAAGTTATATCAGGGTTGCCATGAAAACGTTAAAAGTTTAACTTAGTCATACCACAATGATGATGTCATATGACGCTTTGTCTTCTATTTCTCTATCAAGGGTACCATTCACGATAAGTTTGTAGACATTGTCATCAGTGGTCTCAATCGCAAAATCTGCAATGAAATGACAAATACTGTTACTTAATGTAAGTATCCTATGATGAATGATGATGATATATATTTCATAATTTTAAAAAATTGAGATCATATTTACGTTATGTATCATTTCCCACGAGGCATAGTAAAACGATTTGACTGTTTACTTTCGTCCAGTTTAAAACGAAATATCAGAACACATTAAACATATCCACAAAATAAAACAAAATTGAAAAAAACCCAATATATTTCCACCATAAAATAAATGCAACGAACATAGTCTCGACACTGTTGTTGCAAAATTAAAGGGTGATTAAAAATCTTAATTGAAATCATGTATTACATTCATTATGCTCTCGTACAAGAAAAAAAGAAGAATTTACAAGACAAGGCGTAAAATCGCGTAACAATTTTACTACTTAAAAACTGTAATGCTGGAGACAACAGCCGTTAGAGGCAAAATAAAGGGGCACAACGCTCACGCACATGCCAAGCGCGTTGTTAAATTGAGGCGCGCGCATTAATGTGGCGATCCTATTGGTCGAAAGAATGGTCTGTGCGCATAACCAATGCGCGTGCGTGGTATCTCCAGGCTGCATTATACCTGTACCTGTCTCGTCCTGTAATTCGTAGGTAATTCGTGTGTTTATTGTATTCGCTTCGTCGCCATCAGTAGCCCTGAACTGACAGACGACTGTACCGACAACAGTGTCCTCGCTGATACGGAAAGGAGATGACGTCACGCAGGTCATTGTGGGGTCGAAGATCGGCGGCTCATCATTAACATCTTGAATAATAAACCTAACCTGAAATATCAAAACATAAAAAGAAAACGATCGTAAAACAAAAGAAAGAGTCTGAAACTGAAAAATTAAATGCGTAAAAAAAGAACTCAATCTTTACAGTCTTGAAGTTGTAGATTTTTAACAATTTACTTGAAAAAAAAGGTTCCTTTAACATTGCTATTTATTTTGACATCAATTATTTCTTTACCATCTTTCCCACAGAACACTATAAAAATCTGTTTGAAAATGATGGCTCAAAAGACGAAAAAGAAAATCAACCCGGAAAAGCAAAGAGATTATTGTTTCAGCCGACTTGTATCCCCAATTTATTCCTGGATACTTATACAAGCTTCTTGTCGACTAAACTGCAACCAGAACCATTCCCATAGCAGGAGTTACACGTGAGTAGTGGATAGACCGTACCGTGGTGAAGGCTGGGATGTTTTTCCATCACTTGCTCCCACAATGACCTCGACTACACTTTGCTCCTCACGGTCGAAGGTTCCATTGACTGTGATGTTCCCAACCTGAAAAGTCAGGGGAAATAATGATAGTCATTAACAGCTTTTCATCGCAAGCCAAAATCTCAAACATCTTCAAAATCCGACACACCAGGAATGTTTCTTTTTAAAGATTTTGCAGGAAGGAGGAAGATTGAGTGAGCTCAGCTCTGATACTTGGAAAATAGTGTATTTTTATTGTCTGCACTTTAAAGATTATTGAATAATTCAGAAAAGAAACACAGTCAACAAAATAACCTGTTTATTATTAAAAGTAAAACAGTCAAAAGCTGAATTAAATTTTTATTTAGTACATTTCTTGAAATACAATAAAAGAAACAAAACACTTCTAAATGTGATGCAACACTTATTATTCAATTAAGAAACTCCTGGGTTTTGTTGTTAAAACGGGTGTGACGTCATCGAGTTCAAAAATCAATGAAAATGTCTCACACAAACCTTATCATCCAGGATTCGAAATGTGTATTTGCTGTAAGATGTGTACCCCAAAGTGTAGGTAATGACAGCGCCCTCATCGGCGTCGGTAGCGGAAACCTGAACCGAATTCGAATGAGTTAGTTATCAGCGAATATCCTGACACAATTACATTTATCTGTATCGAGTTTTTTCAATACATAAGTTCTAAGTCACTGGAGCATAACATTTTTTAACCGAAACTGACTGTGCTTTATAACGTCACGAAAAAATGAGAAAAACTGTTTGAAAAAAAAAAAAGACGCTTCGATAAGGTCTTGTTTTCATGAAAATCGCCTATAAGTGAAATAATTTAGTTCTAATGTAATTTTTCAACAAGCACTTACATTAAGGTAAAAAAAAGTAGTTTTTCTTTTAAAGTTTTTTTTTAACTGTTTAAAAGGATATAATTACAACAAGTTTGGGAGAGAATTGGCGGAGATGGCTAGACAAGATTTGATACATACCTGAAACACTCGGTAGTCTATCTCCTCCTCTTCGGGTAAATCCCATTCGTATGCGGCATCAAACTCCGGCGCGTTGTCATTGACATCAGTCACACAAATGGTGACAGTGACTGACTGGTTCTAGTATGTAGCAGAGAATGTTTATAGCAATGGTGAGTAGACTAATTTCAATAAGTGAATAACATCCGTGGATTTTATTTTTCTCTCTTCGCGTTAATTATTGTGTTTTTGTTGTTGTTTATAGCAGGGTCTATTGTCTTTAAGGTTATCCATTGTGCAGACGTTGATTTGACACTGTTGTTTTCCATATTTCTCAAGAATTACATATTTATAAATCAATAGGTTTTGCCCTTCACCGACGTATACACACTGTACACTCAGTGTGTTACCTCCCGAGTTGGAAAAAAATACTTGGGTGGGGCTCGAACCCACGACCTCTTGCTTTCCAGTGCATACGTCTTCACCACTACGTCGGTGAAGACAAAACCTGATATTGATTTACATCACCCCGCTAACTTTATTGCTAACTTTGCAGTCGTACCCTTGCTGTTGCTGAGATTTCTGTTGGCAAATTGTGTTCATTGATGCTAAAGCTAATGTAGATTTGACGATGTTTTAGAAATACCCACTAAATGTCATTACTTACATGATCTACATTCCCATCGGAAACAACGACGGCAAATGTGTAATTCGTTTGACTGCCTGGAGCGTCTACATCCAGAGTCTCATTCAAGGTGATCTCACCTCTTCAAGATAAGATATACAACGAATTACAATCTATCCGTCTTAAAGCTTGTAGCAACAATAAAGCCACGACAACAACCAGACATCTATATTTATATACAGAAACACTAATAAGAAGCACATTACACATACTGACCTACAACATATGACACCAAAAAGGACACTAGGAACAACATGAATAACATTTCCTACTGACAAAGAACTACAACAAGAAGAACTTTTACAACCTGAAAAATATTAAACAGCCGACGAGAAAACATTTACAACATAAAGTAATTACAACAAGAGCAAAATTACAACTTAACGATAATGTTAACGATGACATCACTTTATATAACAAGTTAGTAGTGCGTTGCAAACTCACGTCTCTTTGTCTATGACGAAGGGCAAGCCTGTCGTCTCGAGCCTGTATGCCAAAACATCATCCTTATCCGCATCGGTAGCCTGACAAACACAGACAAAAACCGTAAAGAATGCATCAGGGGAAACAACCTTTAGGTTTGCAGCTACTTCACTGCAAAAATTAAAAGAAACCATTAAAACTCACGAGGTTAAACATGTTGCAAATTGAGAACAGCTAGAGTAATTTTTGACCATTCCAATGACAGGTAAACGAAGTAAGATATCATCGGTGGCCTCAGACAGGGACATGGGCACAAAAGCAGGAGAACAAATGTTACAAGAGTTGGTTGCTCTATGTCATTTTTCTTCTGAATCAATAAAGATAATTGGTGTCAGAATCAATAAGAGTTGATTGGAAGTAAGTATACTCACCGTGACAGTTAGCACGCGTCGACCTATGTTGTAGTCTTCTGGTATGCACTTATCTGGCGGCGTGCTAATAAACACCGGGTCATTGTCGTTTGTGTCATTAACCGTGACGTAGACGTTGGCGAATGAGATTCTTCAGAGAGACCGGGAATAAAAGTCGAAGGAACAGGTCATTGAAAATATGACTTTACCACAAAATACCTTTGTGTGACTTCTTCAACCTTTCGCTTTATCAATGGCTATCATCAAATGTGTATGGTTTTGATCGCTGTAGAAGACAGAGTCTTTACAGAAAGAGGTTGTGGCGGTTTAATTTACTGACTCAATGACTAATTCACTGCCTGACGTCCACTTACCGGTTGGGCAATTAGGATTACCAAATAACGCCAATGTGTAGACTGATGCATAAACAAGTTGCAAGTGAATAGCCATTCGGAATAAATTGAAAGGAATTTCACGCGGGCTGAGAGCAGTTTTGCTAGGCTTGCTGGGTTGTCTTGTTTTTCCAATACTTAAAGACAATTTGCGTTCATGTGTCCATGAATAAAAGATATACCTTGCTGGATCCCACGAGCTATCCTGAGCTTCGATGAAGAGAATAAACCTCTCCACTTCCTCAGCATCCGTCTTCACAGGAACAGTGATCTCACCAGTCGATCTGCCTACTGAGAAGTAATTCTCTCCACCATCCGTGGCTGACTTCAAGATGTAGGCAATGCCTCCCGCTACGCCTGTGGATTCGGCAGTCACCTTAAAAAAAAAAACGTTAGATATCAAAATTTTAATTTAATTTATGTCACTTTACTTCTCACTTAAAGTTAAGCCAAAGATTCCTCAAAGGTAGCATGCACTGTAGCTTGGGAGTCTGAAGAAAACTCAAGGGTCAAGACTATGATGAGATGAAGATACACCGGAAAGTACAGTTTCAGTTCTTGGGGGAACCCCGAGAGATTTTCCAGGGAGAAACTACAAAATCAGGTAGGGACTGAAAAACCAAATCCACATGTATGCCTCAGTGGGAATCAAACCTGGTCGTGTGGAAGGTGAAGACAGTTGCACTGCTCAATCAAGCTCATAAGCATAGACAGTGGCTAAGCCTTATACATGTGAACTTGGAAAAAAGGGTACCAGCAAGAATGAAATGCGAAAAGTTTTACTCTTTCCCTCTTCGCTTTTCCCTGTTTTCACTCTTACCCCGTCTTTTCCTTTCACATGCTTGTTTGTTTCATGTTTGCTTGTTACTGTTTCAAACCTATTTTTAACTTTTGAAAACGATTCATTGAGTTGGGTGCGTCAGACAGTATGGATTATATGATTTATACAAATCCTCTACAACATTATTCGATTCATGTCTGGGACTTCGACGTCTCCAATGTATTAAACTATAGTCACCTTTAGTATAGAAGTGTCGTAAACTTGTTCCTCCAAAATGCTGGTTTCGTATCTAGCTTCAGTAAAAGCCGGTTCCAAGTTCATTACCGAGATACTAACGTCTGCCACGTCTGCATTCGAGCAGTTATCGGTTCTCACTTCAACCTAAAGGCAAATGCAGGCGAAAGAGAAACAAAGAGAAAGAAAGAAGTTATCTCAAGAAGTAAGAGGGATGTAATCGGGAAAGAATGACACCAAGCTCTATCATATCTCTTCGCTTTGTTGTGATAATATTAGGGGAAAAGCATAAGATAGCAACGGCTCATCAAAAATGAACGCCAACAGCTAAAGGGAAACTAAAGAACGTTTTTGTCATCTCGGAGGAGCAGGATATTACCTGGAGGTTGAAGGTTTTGTTGAGTACCAAGGAAGACGGATCTGTCACTTTAAAGTAAAGACGTCGTGGATTCGTGTCTGGGTCGACTGCAACCAACTCAAATGGCTGGCTGTTGTCTGCAAGGGTTATGTTTCCGATGAATTCCTGCCAAAAATCAAATGAAACGTTATAAAAAGATATATCCCGGAGCATTTGCCTCAGATTGTTTGAGCATAAAACCGCAAAATTTAATGTGTGATACATCATATGAAACGGCAATTTAAAAATCGATATTAGAGGTATTTCAGGACTGCCGTTATGTGTCGTTAATTATTACCGTATCGTCATCACGGACTTCAAGTGTCAACCTTGTGACGCCATTGATGATGTACGCAACTTTGTCCGGAGGGTCGATTCTGCCCGTGAGCGTTTTGTCTGGAAAGTAGGGCATGATGAATCGACGTCTGCGATGGTGAGTTCAAGGGTTGCCGTGGCAAAACGGAGGTCGTTGTCAGCCTGCTCTGCCTGGTTACCAAGGATATTAAGAAAGCATGGATAAAGATACTCTCAGAGCATGCAGCAAATAGGAAGGAATGAGAAGGGTGATTGTGGTGGTTAATGATGGTATCCAGAGATGAATGGTGATGGTATATATGATGTTTATCTTGGTGATGAAAAGGATTATCACGAGGGAATGTTGTTGCTACTTATTATCATTGGCTTAACTAAAGTCGAGCGCATGGGGGCATCCCCACGCTGACTCGAGACTTGTGCCCCCATTGTGCCCCCCTCCCGCTAAGAACTAATGGAAGGCAAAGGTAGACACTTTTTGAATGATCCAAATTGATTGAATGCCCCCTCCAGAAAATGAGGATCCTTAATGAGTGCCCAATGCGAACCGAACCTCAGTATACGCCACTATCGTATCTCAAAGTTTTACTCAGGCTCGTAACAAGTCTATTTTGTTGGGGGAACTGAAAGAAAAAACAAAGGCATACGTTTATCACAGCTAGCTTATTGGAATAACTTGTCACATGAGACTGGATGACGCGAGACGAACTTGTGAGGACTTAACCAATAGACGGTCTATCAAGCCCCGCCCCATACGGCGCTTTAACCAATCACAGCATGGTACATGCAGTGTGGCATTGAAAGGCGCGCGTGTTGTCGCCCATCACGTGTGCAGTGGGGGGGGGGGGGCGCGTAATGGATCAGCACACTTACCCGAAGCTGAATTCCACACTCCCCTGCAGCCAGATCATCTATGATCACCGTGACTTCTCCGCTGTCTTCATTAATTCTAAAACTATCTTGCGAACAGGGAGCAGCACCTATAGGGACAAGTGGTACATAATTGTAAACAAAGTGAATAAATTAGTCCTTTTCGCGAATTGCTGCATAATTTCAATTGCTATCTTTTTTGCGTCATAGTATGACGTCGAAGCGTGACGTATACGTCTCATGTAGAGTGGTTGTACCTGTGATGAAATACTTGACAGGGACATTCAAGGAGTCCTGATCCTTAGCGGCAATTGGCGGCTGCACGTCCAGTCTACCAGTGAACCCCTCACTGGTAATCGCCGTGTATCTGTCATTCAGAAACTTCGGGTCCTGGTCATCCAAATCTTCGATCTCGATCACTAAACTTGTCGTGACCACATCGTACTGGTACATTCCCACTAAGGTGTCCTTATATCAGAAAGAAAATACAAACCCATTTACTATAAAGTTGATATTGTAGAAAGACTTTTTTATTTAAACACATTATCGAGGTTTCATTGTTCATACTAAACAACAATGATTTGATTGTTTTGTTTGTCAATTTATCAAGTCGGTAACCACAATGCATTGTCTCGGTTACTATTAATGTCAATTGTCTGCAGGGTGGTTTGTTAAAATGTCTGCATTTGTCTGATATTAAATGCATGGAAATATTTCATCGCGTTGTTGTCGGAAAAAATGGGTACAAAAATGTCATGAAGACATACTACTCTTTGGAAACCGATTTCGTTTTTGTTGTATCCATAAATAATTATATCCAGTATGTTTTAATCCCATGTGTATTATATTTGCGTTTGTCCGATTGTTTGTATGTTTCTGTATTTGTTAAGTTGTCATTTTGGTTTTGTTTTGTCAAGGCATCTCCATATAAGCCCCCGGCTTCGGAAGATGCCCCCATAATTGCCTTTTTTTATTGTCCTTTCTTGCTTACTTATATCAATGTATATTTTTAATTAAAATGTATTAATTTGTTTTTGTTACATTGTCATGTTTTTCTTTTTGGCATTATGGAAATAATTGTTGATTGATTTATTGATTTCAAGAAATTCAAAACAATTAAGTCTTGAGGGTTATTCACTCTTCTTGAGAACTTAGAGAAGACATGCAACAGGAAAAGGGTGCTCAATATGTATTATTATAGTAAGATTGTTGTAAATATTATTCATAGTCAGCTTCACCTCTTTGTTGTTACTTACGTTGAGAGCGAGTGTTAAGTTGTATCTGGGAGTTCGCTCATAATCGACGGACGTGGTGACCTTTATGGTAATTGTCACTAGATCAGTAGTCAGTAGACTTTCAAAATCGGCCTCGATCTCGAAGGGGATGGCAATGTTCTGCAAGAATAAAATAATGGCGTCATTAAAAAGTAGTGGGCATGGAGAACACCCTTCCCAAGCCCCACTTCCCCACTCCACGCCCCTCCCCCCCATTCCTTGTACAGCTTACGCAGACGTTTTGGAAGATAAACGAGAGATTTGTTTATATAGTTATACCAACTGAGAGTCGTCTTCCACAAAATAAGCTCCCAAGTGTCACCTTTACAAATAACGCCTTAGTTGCGACACTGGTCTTAATAACGTTTTACAAATAGACCAAAGCTCTATCTAACTTTTCCTTCAATAAAGAAAATGTTGTTTTAATCACAGTGAATATTTTTCAGACGTTATAGATGAAAAGTCGACTTGTTAAGATTACATTGCCATCTTGAAGGCTAAATTGTAGAGCACTTTGAACGCGATCCTCTTCGGTCAGCTTGATGTCATCAAATACCACGTATCCAGGCTTTGACAACTGTGCACAATAGAAAAGAAAAGAAAAAAGTTCCATTCATTTTGAGACTTTAACCTAACTTTAGTCACAACGACAGAAACAAGTAAACTACTATCAACCCACAAACCCCAACCCCAAACAAAACCCCAACCCAATCCACTGACCCCCAACACCAACCGCAACCGCAACCTCAACGCAAACCCCAAACCCAAACCTAGCTCCACCTCCAATCCCAGGACCCGACCCCACCAAAACCCGATCCCCAACCCCACCTCCAACCCCAAGCCCAACCCCAACCCAATGCGATCTATTTGCTTATCCGCTGTTATTTGAATAATTTGACATTAAAAAGTCGCAATTAACGGAAAGGCAACTTTTATAGTACCTCTGGGATAGATGTTGTGTATTCCGATTGTTCAAATCTTGCCCGATTGTCGTTACTGTTCCGGACATAAATCCCCACAGTCTGTTGGAAGAAGGAACACAAAAAGAGTCGTTTTACGCTAATTTTTGGGAATTAGAAGTAAATTTGAATATCCTTAGTAAAATAGTATTACGGTTCAATCAGGCAAAGCTTATGTACTCGATGCACTCTCCAACCTTGTGAAATGCAACCTATACAGTAACAAATATAACATGGTTTTAGGGTAGACAGTCGATATTATTTATTTATTTATTCATTTATTTCTTATTTATCCATGGGTGATCCATTCTTATTTATCCATGGATCCCAGCTCACACAAAACTATTATCAAAATACAATTAAAAGTACAATGTATGAATGTTAAAAAAATCATTGAAATAAACTTCAATAAATAAGGATTACACAGATCAACAGACGTTTACAATACAATACAAAACATCACTGCAAGATGACATCTTCCCTCCCCCCTGTTATTAGCTCCCCGAGCTATTGGAAGTTGACAAACTAGTTCCCGATGCGGAAAAGAAAATATTAAGATTAAAAATTATAAGGACAATGTTAACAATTTGAAGTGCATCAACGGGACATGAATAGGACCTTGTATATCACATGGTTTCAAATGAGATCATAATTAACTGAAACGTTTGTTTACTTACAAATGTACTTGGATCGCATACGAAGTCATACTGTGCTAGTGCAACCGCCTGGTTGGGGGTGTCTCCAGCCTGTACAGTTTTACACAAATTTCTATATTGAACAAAGGCAACCTTGTGTATTGTTGACATAAAATAATTCATTTGTTTAACAGATTTATAAGGTTATATACAACTCGCATGCATAACGGCAAATTATGTTTGAAATGACATGGCACAATAGCATAGTAGCTTTTAAACTCACAAACCTTTAGTAACCTTAATTGATTGGAATCAGCAAGCCAATAAAAATCAGCAACGAATCTGCAAACAAATAATTGGATATTTCAAGCGGCCTTCTTTTTAAAGCGTAACGCCATTTCGCTCAAGTGACATAAATAAAAAAAGTACAACGTTGTAATTAAACCTACCTCTATGTCAGGTAAGGAGGCGGCGGTTGACAGAAGCTCAATCGTATTGTCAGCAGATTTGAATTCGAATGAATCACAATAGTTTGTATCAGTGCTAAGCGTGACACATGCTTCGTTGACTGTCGCATTCGAGTCGTTGACGCTGAATTGGAAGACGTCCATTGGCCCAGCTGTAAAAGGGAAAATATCAGGAAGACAACCATATAAATCCCCAAGCGTATCATGAACATTATTGATTCAATGCCTAAAATCTTTACGTTGGCAAAAGTATCTTTCAAACAATTGATTGTTTTATTAGGTCAACCGACCTGCAAAACGTCTGCAATACGGGAATCTCTTCTCTGCACTTTCCCATTTCTGAGGAGGCATATTCCAATGTCAATCAAGGTGTTCCGAAACATTGTCTATAGACGAATCCTGGTACATGTATATTGTATATGCTTATATGCCGTCACTCCTATCACAAAAGGCCCCCTTCGATTGCGAAACATAACGTGCAAGTTATTGTTCATGTAATCCGCCACACTGCAGTACCTTTGAACAATAGCATACTCAATGTTATCACCATTGAAGGGGGCCATCGCGTGTGCAAGCGTGCAAGTGTGATCACGTGCCCGGATTCGTAAATTGCATATTGTACTTACTATCCTCTTCATTTAGAAGCACGTTTCTACTATTGGAACACGGGTCGTTTCCTTCACACAAAAAGGTACATTCTGCAAAAAAGGAAAGACAAGACTATAAGCAAGCCATGTTTAGCTGAACCCAGACCGTCTAAGTCAAAGTGACAGTCGGTCATCAGTATAAGATTGGTAACAGTTTAAGACACAAATCGTTCGGTGAGTCAGCCAGCGAGATGAGTACAAAGAGGACACTACGCTGACCCTCTGGGAGTCTGGGACCAGCCAAACTTGAAAATGGGACACGCTTTTGAAGTGCTCAGCTACATGTATAACAATTGCTCAGGCAGTAGCCTGTAATGCGTTCGACACTTTGGTTGCTGGTGTGCTTTGCGTTCTAATTCTGCTGCTGTTGCTGCTGCCGTTGCTGCCGCATTTAATTATTAATGCTTCTGCTGCACATTTCGTGTGTGCTGCTGAATTGTTGTCGCTGTTGCAGTAGCTACATGTACTACTACCGATACTGCTGCCGTTGCTGCTGAATTTTGCTGTTGTGCATGAATGCATCTGCTGCAAATTTGCTGTGTGTGCTGCTGAATTGTTGTTGCTGTTGCTGCTGTAGCTACCGATACTGCACTACTGCAGGCGTTGTTGCTGTCATTTATCATGCTGCTGCTGCATTGTCTTATGCAGCAACTAGTGCTGTTGTCGATACAACTTCCCTTGCTGTTCTGCCTCTATTACTTTTTTCTGCTGCAAATAAGAAATAATGGAATATGATCGTCATACGTGCGTTCGAGAGTTGAAGACGAGTTGCAAGTCCCAGAAATGTGACGAGAGAGATCGCAAGAGTTTCATTCTGAACAGCCGATGGACCCTCAACAGGGCGGAGATCCTGCAACAATGGACCCCAATCTGCATGAGAGAAAAGAACAAAGACGTTTGGCTGCGGAGGCTTATTAACATACTTAAGTGAAATAGGATCGAAGTTACTCAATGTTAGGTTTTGCCCTTCACCGACGTATAACCACTGTTTACTCCGTGGGTTACCTCTGGAGTGAAACTTGGAAAAAATCAACCCGACACAAAAATTCCATCTTGTGAATAGTTAAATGCGGTACCCGCTGCTATGTCCATCAGATTCGAACCAGCCAACCGACCCCGTAAGCTTGGCGGTCGAGTGTACGACGTCTGCATTAGAAAGCAGGAGGTCGTGAATTGAGTCCGTGCACCTGAGTGATTTTTTCCAACTTTCACTCGGGAGGTAACACACTGAGTAAACAGTGTTTAAACGTCAGTGTAGGGCAAAAACTTATATTGATTTACATCAGCCCGACGCAAAACTTCCGCCTTGTGAATAGGATCGAACTTGTTGATTTGTTGCCCCCCCCCCCCGTGCTTCCAAACAAGACTTAATATGTTACAGAGGCGAGCAATGTAAGGAGTTTTTCTTCATTTTTGCAACAAATAAAATTTGAACCGACTATTACCCCGAACACCTACTTTGTGGAGATTTTCAGGATGTTTAGTAGAAAGAGAGCTAGAGGGAGAGAGAGCAAGTTACTGTGAACAATTTAGCAAACTGTTAATTCGGAATGGCATTTGCAGAGTTATTTCTCACGTGGAAGGTTAAGTAAACAAACTCATTTTGCTGTGGCTAGAACGTGCAGGTACACTGTAAATTATTAACTTTGTGATGGAATTGTCCCCCAAGTGGTCTGAATACCAGAGAACGAACCGACGGTGAAAACAAATTGGCAAACGGTCCAACAATCCGCCACGGTAGCGGTATGACAAACATGCACGGCTCTGTGTATTCAGGGGATTGATTTAACGGGCATATTGAAATAATTAAACCAATACACATATCATACATCCACAGACAGCGTGCAATATTTCCTTCGTACATCATATTTTAAAGGTTTTGAGGAAAAACTTTTCTTAAAAAAAGGGTTTAATTGAGGTTCAAATTTGAGTCATTCTTCTCAAACCTGATTTAAGATGAAGACCAACTTTCATGAGTGATGGTTTGTTTAAAGATCGTAGCCAGAATACAGCCAGGTCACTCAGCCAAAATAACCATCAAGTCACCTTGTTGGTCAACTGTCAAATTTTGGCGGCTAAAATCAACAGCCAGCCAGGCAATTTAGAAATACAAAAATGAGCATTTTAATTAGGCAACATTTTAATGCACCGTTATTAGGGACACTTAAATTCACCATTGTCACAATTATATTTTAGTGAATTTGAAAACAGGTGGGGTATGGTCTATGTAATTAAATATTAGACAGATTCAGTTAAAATTGCTGGTATTAATAGAAATTAATAATGTTGTCGAGTCTTTGAAGATGGTGCTTACCACACACAAACAAAAGCAACTCTTTCTTTGGTTCGCTGTCATGAGTGTCATGGAGACAATAACAATTGACAAAGTATGAGGTAGGAGCCATGATGAACCATAGGTGAATGCAGTAAATATGGTGAAAAACGATAAAATGTCAATTAAAAGGTACAATTTAAATGTTAGTTTCTTGTACATTATATTTTAATGGTTTGTACCACTGTTCCGGCCATTACATACAAAAGTTTTTGAAATAGCCATTTTTTTTTTTTAAACAAATTACTCTTTCTGTATATTTTTTTTAACATCGTAGGATCCTTATAGTACGTAATTCATTAGTACACAATTCTATATCGCATTAGTTTTTAAAAGTATTGTTATTCAGAACTGAATACCTCTCACCCCGAATTCCTGCTGTCCTGCTGTCATCGTCTAAATAAAGGGAAACTCCGTCCAAATTAAAAATCTGGCCAAGAAAAGAGCTATTCTTACTTTAATCATGAACTTTGGTATCGTTTCGCCAATTGTGGGATCTTTTTGGTGTGGTTTCAGACAACTTATAACCACGTTTGGACACGTCTAAACTACGTCGAAACTACTCCCAAAAAGATCCAAAACTAGTTTGGATTTTCCCGTTTCTAAGCACCCCGATATTAAAGTAATATTCCATCAACACTTTTGAGGTAAATGCAACTTATTGACAAAAGTCGGTTCCCAGCTGTATCAAAACACAACATTCCAAGAACATAATGGAATTATCCGAAATCCAAAAACCAGAAACTTACCTTGTTCAGTTCGTTAGCTCCTGGGTTTCCTTGACGCACAAAACATGCAAACAAAATGGACGCACGAAACGAAACCGAACTGCGCAGTTCCTAATCACGCGTGATATCTCTGGCATCAAGTTTCCCATACGAGATCCGGTTCGCTGTCACCACTAGACCAGCAAAAGTCTATTTACCTTGTGACGTTTAGGGCTTTTTACGAACAAGGATCTGCTGATAAGTTGCTGATACTGGGTGGATTTTGGACCTCTTCACGTGCTTACCGCCAACACCCTTGTCTGACAGAGTTTTGATCTGATTATAGGCCTAACCCTTTTTTTTCTATCGGGCAAAGGTCTATCACCATACCATACCACTGGTATACTCGAAAAGGAACTTGAAGCGATGCGTGTTGGGGTTTATGATTCGAAACTTCATTATTATCATCCTTGCCACTAAACAAGGTTTATACTCTTCAAATTATATTGCCCAAACTTGATCTTGTACCTGTTATGTACTTTGTAACATATTAAGAAAGGTAGATTCAACCCTGATTTAAAACAAACACATCAATCGGGTTTTGTTGAAAGTCTTCGCTAAAATTAATTGAGGAATTGCTTGGGTAGATTCGGCTCAACCTACCGTTGTATTTTGTTATAATTTTATAAGAGTATTTAACGTCATGTACTGATGGTTCAATGATTTTAAATTTATTCCCGTATTTCTAGGAATATATTTCCATAAGAAATTCACAGCAAACAATTCCATAGCGGTAACCATAGCTCGCATAAACACACGCATGCAGTAAGTACCACTATTATGCACGGTGACCCTTACAATCGACCCGTGCTTGTTTACTCTGTTGAGATAAATTACATCGTGTTGTGTCGGTGTAAAGGCTCAGTTCCGTTAAATGGCTTCATTCCGTGCGCAGGCCTTAAAATGAGGTGCGAATTTATTTGCAGTTGGTGAACGACAGAGGGCGCGGTGTTCCTTGATGGTGGAGTGAATTGATGGGGATTTTATGACCCATCCCAAACAAGATGTGTTCAAAATCGCCAGGCTACTCTAAGAGTAAAAAACTGTCCAACGAGAAGTCAGCAGAAATATTCATCATATTCACTCAAATAGGCCTACAACACTGCGCCAGTATCAGTCTAGTCTCCTGACGACGCGCAGAGAAAACTGTCGTCCGAAACGTTGAGTTTGCCCGGTTCTTGTCAGAACCTCACCAGCTCATTGAAGAGATTTGCTACATGGTACAGCCGTATCCTATTGCAATCTTCACCGCAAATCATTAAATCTTAAAACGAGTGACGTATCAAAGCAAAATACAGAGTTTTCAATATCTCCTGCATGAGCCAATGTAACTAGTTTTACTCCTCATGACGTGTAAACACCACAGCCACAAAGGACTATATGCTTCTCTGACAACTGCAGTCTTTCCATTCCATTGGAATTTCCATTCCAATCTGGACGAATCTTTGACTGGACATCGCCGCTAGGCATCGTCTTCCAGTTTGACTTCACGCCGGTGCCGTGCAAGCGTGACACTAAGGTGGTGATGCAAGATATTTTCCTATAGGGCTATCTTAAATTGGGATAATTTTACTACTATCACTGCAAGGAAAGCTTTAAATCTTACAATGTGACATATCAAAATAAAAGATGGAGTATAGGTGAGCTACTGTACAAACTTGAAGTTTGACTCATGTTGCGTGTCTGCCGCGCCACAGAGGCTTAAAGGACTCCCCGACAACTGCATTCTTTCCATTCCAAACCATTTAGCAGAGTATGATAGGAGGAAACACTAGTCATCATCATGAATGACTATTATGTAAATCCCGTAGGCCTACCTTGTTGTCCCTGCGTAACACTGTGCAATACTCGGAAAAAAGAACTGTGCTGTGCCAGCGGTATTCGAGCTGTAGCATACTAGAGACAAATTCACGTCTCACACGATTCCTCATCGCTCAGACGAATTTTGGATTCTTCACGTACTCACGCTGGCAGTGGTACCAAGCCTGAGGGCTAAACGTGGACGTGCAACGCTCCGAAGCGCTTGAAAAACGGCGCGAAATTCACATTGGTTTGGAGTGAACCCCAGGCCGGCAGTGTGCCATGCTCTTCTTATAAAGCGCCCTCAAGAGCCACTTGCTAGCCATTCATGCGTGCAGCATGCAGCAGTGTCGGATTTCGAACCGCTTCTCCCATCCTCCAAAAACTCAATAATCACCCGGCTGCTTATGTGCTCAATTTTCATCAGATGGCGGACACACATTTAAATATTTCATTTTTCCGATAAAAGGTTGAGTGAGCTCCATCCAAAATAACTCATCATATATACTCCTCCTTAACAATGCTATAGAAATTCCTTCTCAATATAGCACCGTGGTCTGTTCTTATTCTGATATTCTTTATTATGAAGCATTCAAAATGCCTCATCGTCAACAAAATCAATCAAATACGAACATGGGCGTCGTCAGGATTTTGTTCGGGGGGGGGGGGGGGACAAAGCACATTTTCCCCAATATCATATTCCCCACCCCCATTGACACCCCTGCAGACGCCCATTTTGTTAAATTAATAGCAAATATGATTTCACACCTCTTTTTTTGTTTTGTTTTGTTCTGCTTTTCCAGGGGAGGGGGAGGGGGTGAGGAAGAAAGCGCCCCCTCCCACTTGCTCCATCCCGGCGACGCCCATGAATACGGATGAAAATCATTCAAATGAGAAATATAATATGTTGCAAGTAAACGCACGATGAGTGTAATCAATAGCTGTTTTTATGTAGGGTTTTCATTCGGAACTAGTGACGTCACATTTGGCCAAAAGTTTACAGATTGCGGTAGAAGAAAGTGATTTGTTTGCAGAATGAATTGATAAACATCATCCATTATTTTATTTAATCGACTGTGCGCTTGTTTTTAAATTTGTCATAAAAATAAGGCAATGCCTTTGTTTTTAAATTTGTCATAAAAATAAGGCAATGCCTCCACCTATGTTTGTGTGTGTGGTTTGTTTTTTGATTTCATGAAAACGATGTGAATGAAACATGGCTCTAGCTACATGTATATACAGAATTTGCTTTATAAACTTCGGCCTTCAAGTTTAAACTTATTTAAAACCTGAAACTAAAACCTGAAACTAAGCCAAGCGCACTCATATCCACAATCATTTCTTGTTTTAAATTGTCGTCTACTCTTAGTTTTGAGGTGCTAAATTTAAAATAATGAGGAATTGCACAGAATTCTATCATCACAGAGTGCACATTTCACGTTTTGTTCGAGTAGAGTAGTACAAAGGCAACAGCAAAGAAGTCCTACATTAAATAGTTCGTTTATTTTATAAATTTGACGAGCACGTTGTTTTCCTTATGTTGTATTTGCAAAGACTGATATAATTTACACTGTGCAGGAGCAGGATGCATAATTTTCAATCAATTTTAAACGATCATGTACTGTCAATGAATCATTTTCTACTTCCATTTCCCATTCAAAAGCTCATACCTAGGGCAATGCTCTCAAAATCACCCAATTTTCAAATTTATTTGGAGGGCTGTCACACCCCGAAGCACACACTCACAGTAATCTCATCTATGTTATTACTTCAGTATACAATCGCGCATTAAAAATGTGAACCACTTTCATGAATTTCAGTGGAAGAGGGCGCCCTATTCTTTCCCGCCAAACATGTAGTCTTTCAGTTGTCGCGTTGTTCGGATCTTCTCAAAGTCCGAGATGAGTTTGTAGGCGATTCGGAGTAGTTCTTTTTCTGTCAGGGGCTGGTTTGGGCTTTCGCCGAGTTCCATTAAGCCCCAAACCCTAGAGAAGAAAAACAATATAATGTAATCGTAGCAAAACTGGTCCCAGCGCACAGTATTATGTTAAGTAGAGTAAGAAAAGAGTTGGAATCACTGAAAATCTTGTAATGTATCCGTTCTACACAATGAGTCAGATTTTAGCCCGTTCATTGACGTTGTGGGTAATCCTATCCAATAGGACTGCCCGGTTCACAGGTGACAGTTAGTCAGTCAGAGAGTCAGTCAGGCTCGCTCCCCGAGATATATGGCTGACATCAGAGTTACAATGCACAAGGGCTATTAATGGATTGGATGGAATAGGTACTTCTTAAAACAGCTGGCTTTCAATACGTAGCCTCTGCACAAAGTGATTTCCTATCGCATTTTAGTTACATTTGGTAATACGTGTGTAGTTTTGGTGGATATCACCTTATCCAGTCTTCAATAGATTTTAGAAAAAAATAGTACCATATTGGCATCTAATATTGGCAAGCCAATATTATAACGAGCCTTTATTTTGTAAGAATTAAGCTTTGCGTATACCTTTTGACTGTATTATCAATATCCGTCTTTCAATTTAAAATAAGCCCAACATCTTGCTCTCCAAAGGAAGCTGAAAAGCTAAAAATAGCAGATAATTATTTTGTCGTACCTTCGAATCATTCTGGCTCCGACGAATCCAGCCGTTTCGGATACCGTCTGTTCGTATTCTTCATCGTTCAGGTACTCCCTAGCCTCCTTGAAATAAATATCCACTATAAGGAAACAAACAAACACAATATCATTAAAAAACCACAGGAGAAAATTCTGAAACCCCTCCATGAAAAAAAGAAGAAGAAATTCCGGCAGGAGCCCAGCCCGCGCTTTTTTAACTGACAACGGAACAGGATGAACGAACACTGACAACGAAACAGGATGAACGAAACAAAATGGTAGTATCTATTGAGAGTTTGCATGTGACGTCAGTAGATATCTCCTTGCTTTGGAGACAATGTAAACCCTCAAAATGGCCGCAAGTCAGGTTCCTGCTCGACATTTTTTTAAGAAGGGACTTGGGAATGCATGGCAACGTATGGAAGTTGCCTGTATCGGAGCATTTGGACATGTGAATTGGACACGTGATTTCCACCTGCTTAGTTACGAGTTGCGTTCCAAAGTCGCACCGAGCCAAATTATGCCAAAGATGGGTAATTAGACCCAAGTGTACATGATAAATTAACAATTAAAATGGAAACAACTACTGCTGCAGTCATTCGGAACGACCAAAGGGCTAGTCTGAAACCAACCCCGAATCTCTCCGATTACAAGTTGGGTCTATATCCTACTCTGCATAAAACTACAACGAGTGTTTACTCTGCCCATAACAGCTCACCCAGTTCACAGATCTCCTCGCCTAGTCTCTCGTGGAATGTCGAGTCTTCTTTGAGAGGATACAGCTTGTGGTCCAGGTATGGTTTGTAAAGATTAGCCAACATGTGGCCAAAATCGTTCCCAGCAGGTCCCATGTGGGAAAACTCGAAGTCGAAAATCTGAAGTAAAATTTAAATTTAAATTTAAAATCGCATTCTTATTGTACAATTCCCATCTTCATATATCTAACGGATAAGGTAGGTACTTTCAGTTTTGGAAGAATGAATTTAGAATCGAATTCCAAGAGCAGATGCAAAAAGAGCTTGGCTCAACGGACGTAAAAGGGAGAAAGCACCACTCTACAGTGGTACCAGGTGTATCACCTGATCTAATTACACGTTGAGGATACACCTCCGGTTCCACTCAAACCGTAATTCTCTTTCAAGAGTAAGTCACTTCACATTCTGTATCCTTCAACAGTTTAAGGTTATACTCTTCAATTTATAGACAAACATTAAATGCCATTTATGGGCCCAATGAGTTCGGCTGTGCCATAGTTATTCGGAATACCATAATTATTGGGAACACTATAATTATTGGGAATACCATAAATGTTGAGAATACCATAATTACTGGGAATACCATAATTATTGGGAAAGCCATAATAATAGGAATACCACAATTATTGGCAATACAATAATTAATGGGAATGTCATAAGTACTGGGAATACCATAACTATTGGGAATGCCATAACACAATTATTGGCAATATTGGCACTACCATAATTATTGGAAATACCATAATTATTGTGAAAAGCTGTCGGATAACACACCTTGACAGTGGAGCCCCTGATCATGACAGAGCTAGTGTGGAAGTCTCCATGCACCAAGCAGTCACTCTTGGTCCTATCGATGTTCTTCAGCTTCTCCCAATGACCACCGAGTTTGGGGTCTTTCAAGAACTCCTCAACCTCCTTCTCGTACTTCCCATAACCTTTTCTATCGATGGGGTCAACGAAGACATGGATCACTCCCAGATCCTGCATGCCGCTTGGCCTAAAGGAAACAACATAGTTACACCATAGTCTTTCATTATGGGAAATAATGGATACTATTGGAAAACCATGATATTCATCCGTGGTGGGATACCATGGCATCGGACAAATAGGATCCCATAAGAATACACCAGGAATTATTGACTTTCTCTTGGAAAAATATGGGAACGAAGGTAAAGTCATGGAATCTTCTATAAGGAAACCCATTTTGAAAAAAAATGAGAACGTATTATTTTTTCCCTTGCCATTTTTTTTTCAAATGGAGTGGCATGCTGCATGCTGTCTCGAAAGAGTGTTTCCTTCAAAAATGATTGGGAAGATGATTATTTTTGATTAATTATGTTTCCCAAGAAATATTAACAATATGTCTAAGAAATATGAGACATTTTACAACTTCACTTTCACAAGCTGCTCTCAACTTACTTGCAAAATACTTCCATTTCCTGATGTTTGACTGGATCCGTGGTGACTCTGTGGGTTGAACGGTGGAGTTTCGCGATGTTTCGGGCTAACGGAGTCAAGAGCGACAGATCAAGGTTGCCATTATTGAGTCTGTCTCGCAGGATGTCGAAGCCACCCAGATCTTCCATGACAACTACGAGAATCAACGAGAAAAACCAGACACGTTTGAGTATCTAAGCAACTCCAAACGCACGAGGAAATTGAGATGTATTTAATTTAAATTTAAGATGCTTCAGTACATAGTATAGGAAAGGAGAAAATGTCTTTGTAGGATTGGCGTTTTCAACACTGTTTTGATTCATCAACTTAAGTAACTCATCAGTTATTTTAGTATGTGTGGTCTGGAAGCTTGGGTATCCCTAAGTTTAATGAAATTGTAATTGACACCTTGTATCTCTGAAGAAAAATAGCACAAAAGGGAGGTTTTATTGAATGCTGGGAAGGGCAAGGGAAACGCGTTCTTCATTGTTAAAACCACAGGAATGATGTCGGGGAAACCTAACTCACTATAATTTTGATCGGGGTGGTAGAGATATGGAGTTGGTACGGATCCAGGAACCAGTTCAGACATCTTCGTCATACCCCAGAATTCCACACGTGTTCTCGCCTTAGGTAAGGGATGAACAGGAAACTCCTGCAAATGCAAATTAACATAGTTAAAAGCTGACGTGCATGCACTTAGTTATGCATACCCCCTCAGCGGCGTAAATGACAAAGATTGAAGGACACTTGAGGACCACGCTTTGGTTGAAAAAGTTATGAAAATGGTTGTGCACATGACAATGAAAGAGTTGTCATGCCTAGTCCGCGCTGCAGTTGATGTGTCCTTAGCAGAACCTCGTGCCAAACTCACCAAAAAAATGCAAAAAAAAAGAGCCAAATAATTAGATTTTTCATGTAGCCAAATTAATTAACCATTAAGGAATTCACATCACAACAGAAAACACCTGATTTTTTAAAAATCTATCCTATTGGCCATGGTGCAGTGACGTCGTCAAGTCCAAACACTTTGTACATACGGAGTCTGTAAAGCACCTGTAGAGCAGAACTTACCTTAACATGGTCTTCGCCATGTTTAACGATCACAGTCAATTTGGGGTTCTTGTCACTTGTTATCCGGTACACATAATTAATCGTCCCTCCGTCAACCGCCTCTATCTTGGACTTCGGACCAAATTCCTGTCCCGACAAGAAAAAAAATCAAACTGAGAAAACGGACTTGTCAGGATTAAATAACTTTATTCGGTTATTCATAATACAAATGACCATCAAAGTTTAAAAAAGGTTAGTGACGTAAATACATGCTGGATGCACAGGTAGTTGAAACCGCAAAGGGCCTCTGAAATTTGAACATAATATACATACGCAATTGGAGATTTGTTTGCGTCTCGATGACATTTCTTAACGAAATTCTTAAATGGAAGAACATGATAATGATCAGGCTTTAGGCTTCAATGTTATCACATGACTTCTCAGTTCTGGTTCAGCTACTTACCTTCAAACCTGGTGTTTTTGCGAACAAGTTCCAGTCGTAGCAGTTCTTTTCTGTCGTTTGCGGCTCGAGTGTCATTGTTGCAACAATGTCGTCCCTCAAGTTCTAGAACGAAAACACTGCTACGAGCTGTAATTGTAAAAAGGTTCCAACAAGTCTGGTTATACCACGGAAGTTAAATAAAATAAGATTCCTACACCAGTACCGAGTATAAATATCAACCTACCACACTAATAATTGACACTTCACCACTCCAAACCGTCCCGATACGTCCGAATGTTAATGTTCGTATATCCACGTGAATAAATGGTACATGGCGCTGTACTTTGATATATGGTGTGACCCTCATATCAACTTTCAAAGTACTTATCTATCCGGCTCATTTTTTTTCAATGGATTTTGCTCCCTTCTGAACTTAGACTACAAAGTCTACTATTCTTCACGGTTACACCAGAAAGGGTTGGCCTTTAGCTATTTGTCAATCACTTACAAATACGGCACAGATCAATACACGTACTTCGATGATGGTTCGTTCAAGTTGAATTTTGTTGGACACAAATGTCTAAGTTTATGGCAAAATTATAACGACACAATTCACTCAGTCAGATGGTGTGTCAGTCAGCTGGTACATGGTTGAGGTCCAACCCTCCCCAACCCCATACCCCAACCCCCACTCCTCGAACTGACTGTATAAATGAACACGATTATGGAAACATTAAATGTTATATTTTACCTTTTTGGTGAACATGATTTTACGATATGCAGAGTTGATATTATAACAAAGTGTAGGCACTTCTGACCACCCAGAAGCATTCTTTATCGTTTTGGCAAAAAAAAAAATCTCAATTAATCAAAACCGCGACTTAAACACCATGAAAAGAGACTATATATAGGAATGTGTGAGATAATGTTGTGTTGCATTTTGACGAAACCTAGCTTTGAGATCCCAAACTATAGTCGCGGCACCAATGGTATTGGTTTAATAACTTGAAAAAGGACAGGGTTGGGCGCACTCGATAAATCAGTTGTTCCCAGTTGTTTGCCTAAACTAACAAAGACTCATTAAATACACACTTCGGCTGACGCAAATCGTAACCCAGTGACACTTAAACGAAACAGATAACATTATTGCACATCGAACTTTTACCCACATTGGCGTCCAACATGTATTATTTCGTCACCCTCGTTCAGTTCACCTGTATGAAGCGCGCCGGGTGCTGGTAATTAACCTAGTTTCTTCACTGGATATCATTCTTTGTGGTGTATGCATGGATAACGGCAGTCACCTATTCGTAAATATCTACCTTAAAGTCTACCTTAAATTCCATCACACAAAATTAGTGGAAGAGATAAGTCGCGCGTCCTTATAATGGCGTTAAATACGCGCTTACCATATTAGGTATAACTATACGCGGGCCTAAGAGCATATCAAATCTGACGACATTTTTAAGAAATCGATGAGTAGTTGATCTTTGCAAAGTGGTTAGAGTTGAACTTTCTTCCCTGCCTGCCAAATCAAGAAAATACAACAGTTCTCAAAAGTTGAGTGAGGTCAGGTTTGGCTGAACAAAAATAGCCATCAGTTCACAAACACTGTTATCGCTGGTCAATTGCCAAAGTTTATTTGGTAAGTCTCTTGACCTCTGTCACCTTTTGGAAACTCCAAGCAGATGAAAAAGAACGTTGCTCACGAGATATGATTACTCTCCTTTGAATTATAAGCGGGCAGAGTTCCTAAGCAACTTTTGACAGTTTTATACAAGAATTATTCATACAAACGGCTGAATAATAAATAAACAACTAGGCAGAATTTTGTTGTTTAATGACGCACCACATTTTGCAGAAAGATTGTCAAGTAAATCCCAGACATGGAACACCTTTATCCACTAATCTCCTTAGTGAACTATTTTTCGCCATGTCAAATTCAATATGCATTGTAACAAAATAGGACAGCTGACACATTTAGGTCAAGATAGATATACATTATTAATGGCAATACGCCATGATATGACACACATCTATATGTACCGTTGGTCAAAGAACACTATTTGGAATCAAGTTTTATCAAGTCATCTATGTCAGCAATGGGCTTATTCACCCACAACTGTACCAGTTTGTGACGGTTTACAATAATATTGTACAGTATAGTCACACGACCGTAAGCGCTATATTCAATGTCTTTGTTCCGCGATAAAAGGCATGGCTTTATGCAATCCTTTCATTTATTTGTTGCAGTCCAACAAAAAAAAAGCTCTGCTGAGGGCCAGTTGGCGGTCAAGGATATTTTTATCTACACTTTGTGTAACTGGTCCTGAAATTTCATTCCAAAGAGCCAAATTTAGTTCATTATCTGCGTTGTGTTTGCATGGGAAAAACAAACTGAGAAAGCCCCTCCCCAATAAAATCACCTGTCACACCTATAGGTTCGTACCCAGTTCCTCATCAAATTATTGCATGACAAAATGCAAAAAGAATCAGGCCAATTTTAGGTTTACCCACTAAAAAGATTGTTTTGACTGATAGTTATCTTCATGTACAGCAAAGAGGTGTAGCATGATCTTCCAGCGAAGTTAAAGCCTCAATTTAATTTAGCGGTATTAAGGGAGTGTGGCCTAGTGGTTAGGGTTCGAATCCAGCTGCTGGTCATGGGTTGTGTCCATGGGCAAGCCACTTCACCCCCACTTGCCTCTCTCCACCCAGGAGTATAAATGGGTACCGGCATATAGCTAGGGAGTAACCTGCAATGGACTAGCATCCCGTCCAGGGGGAATAGAAATATCCTCAGTCGTTTCTTGCTACTGAAACCGGAGATAAACGCCGGCCTGATGGGCCACATTGGCTCGTGACAGACTTTACTTTTTGACTTTACTAAATCTGAGTATTTCATTTTGACACCTAAGACTGGCTTATATCATCGTAAATTAAGAAAAGAGAAAAAGACAAATAAGAACACAGGTAGCTGTGTGATAACATATTGCAGGGAATAATTGGGAAATTTACTTGTGACGTAGCCGTCTGAAGTATATGTTATTTTGGAGTGTTTTCTCTGCAACATGTGCTGGTCTATTTGTGCATAACGTTATTGTCTCAATGCTATCGCCAATGAAAAAGAGGACTGACCAAACTTCCCATAATCTGAAGCAGTTATACTTTACGATTTCCGATGTTGTGACGGTACGTCCGTTGGTATTTCTCTTGAATTTAACCCGAATTTAATGCCTACACCTCTTCACCAGCACTTAACCCCGCGGGCAAATGCCTCATCGTTGCTAAGTTGCTGGTTATTATTTTGTGCATAGCCTACAGATGTTATTCACGTTGATATTCAACCAAAACTCTGCGTTCACTGAGCGATAATTACTTATTTTCGTGTGTTAATTAACACACACAAAAATGAACACAAAACCGACCACTGGTGGATGAACAAGCTAACCTTAAAACTTACCTAAAATGAGGAATTGTCAATGATTCTGTTCACTAGATAATGGCGGTTGGCTGTAGTGACCGCGCATAATACACGTTCTGGTTCTGTTGATATGGATCAATTGGACACCCTTTGACGTTTGGAGGCGCTATACGCATATGATTAAGTATTTTTAATGCAAAGTATTATTTTGATTAAATCAATTTTCCGACGCAGTAAGCGGTCATTAAACTGTATAAAATCTCTACCATTTTTGGAATAAAAACTTTCAGCATACACTTTGTCCCCCATGCTTTCATTTTGTGGTTGGCAAAAGAATTGACGAGAAGCTCCGTATTATTGTGACGTTGAATCCATGGCTTCTGTAAACGAGCGTCCTCAGTTCGTTTTGGAGAGGGCGCCCTTCAATTCAGAATTTGTTTTTTTCCTCATTCATGGACAGCAACACTGCGGAGAAGCCTTTATCCATTACAGAACGAGAAGGCGTTGCCTTTTCGTATCTGTGGGTTACATAGAGCACTGCGAGCTTTCCAATTGGTATCACAGACCCCTTTTTAGAACTAGTGGCACATTCATGACAGCTTCTGTTGTGTTACTGATACAAATGGGGCACATGATGTATTATCAATCTGTATATTAAATGACAAATTGCATGACAAGTTTTGACTTCTCGGTTACAAGTTTCAACAAAAAAATATCGCCATGAGAAGGACTGGATTTTGATTGATACCTCCAACTACTTTGATTGTTCCATCTTTACCTTTTGTCATACTACCTTTCCGACAGGGTTCGGTTCCTAGTCAATTATCCCGGTTTCGCCCCTGGCAGTTGTCACAGTTTAATTTGGATCCGAGATTGATTACAGTCGGTGACTAATTTGCTGTGGCACATTGATACTACCCCAAGGATGAGAGCGAGGTTGCATGGGCCATAGTTCGCCCGTAGGTATACAGTGATACATGTACACTATTATTGTGTAGCCGCAGCAGCTATTACACCAATCGTTTTCCTTCAAAACAATCGATGTTCCGGACAACGCAGACTGTTGAGAGTGAGACTATTTTACATTTTCGTTAAAATTTCCTTTTTGATTTTCCTTCATACTCATTGTTAATGGCATTTTTAAGGCACAATTTAGGGTACGTCGGTTTAGAAAAAAAGTAGATTTTTTTTTTTTAAGTTCAACGAATATTTCGTATTAATTAGAGAATGTATACTATCTTATGCAAAATTTGTCAGCGGTACAACTAGAATACCCATAGGCCTAGAGCTCGACAATGGACAAAACCCAATCCACAAATGTCAGCCTGTTTTAACCCCTGTTTGCCCCTCTTTTATGCTTCCTTTACTATTTGCAGACAAATAGTAGTCAACTATGTACTTAAACCATACCGGGGTTCAGTTTGGCGTAGCGGTACATTCCCGCCTTCCACCGCTGTGACCCGGGTTCGAATACCGCCTGGGCCAATATGTGGATTGGATTTTCAGTCCCTACCTGATTCCGTGTTTTTTTCCCCAGAAATATCTTCTGGGCTTTTCCTCCCACCTCTAAAAAAAAATGTAATTTCTTTTCATTGTCTCCTCTCTACAGGTTTCGTCAGGCTTTCGGGCTACAGTGCCTAGGGCACTTTTGAGGAATCCTTGGTTTCATTAACAGAAAAAAATACACATATAAGATGTATAGGCCCTCAGATGTTGCATGTTGTCATCTTTTGGGAGTTTGGAAGGCCCTTGGCTGGAAAATAAAAGTGACTGAATTGTGAGAAATTCCCGGTTTTCACACAGCTATTTAATTGAGACATCAATTGGACAAATCTCCGCGGACATTAGACCGATTGGGATCCGGTTTAATAACCCAAACAGCTACAGCTCTACTCGAGGAGTTTTTAATTGAAAAGTTTGTCGCTCAAAGAGCACGTCGCTACCTGTTTTGTTTTCCTAGAAATTGAGATGTTTTTACCATTAAAGACACGTGCCTTGAGAGTTCATCCTCCTTCAAATCCATTAGCAGATTAGTTTTATTACAATAAAAAAAAAATGTAAATATTTTTTTAAAGCAAAAATAGGAATCCGCAAGTAATGGTTTGCAAACACCCAACCCACCACATTGGATGTTCTTTCTAAAGTGAAAGTCTTGAGATGAGTTTGATCAAAATACACTTATTATACATCATTAAATAATGAAGAAAAAAAAGTAACTTCCTAAATATTGAATAAAAAACTTGTTGAAAACTGACACATGTTGGAAGCTTGATTTAAAGTCTCAAGGATGAAAAAAAAACGCCGTAGAATTAAATTGAGTAAACTCACTTTCAAACTGCGTCTTGAAAGGACGAGTAAATGAAACCGCTTCCAGGCAGACGCCAAGCCAAGGTTCGCTCTTGGTTCGTTCTATCGTTTTGTCGAGGACGCCTTCATGGCCCATGGCATATATGGAGCGTCTACCGCCGTACCTGGAGAGGAATTAAGATTTTTAGTCTTGAGGAGAAGCAACAACGAGGCGTAAGGCTTCAGAGCAAAGTGGTCATTCAAAGTCATTGACCCGAACGGTAAATTCAGCGTCCATCTTTGAGCTGATAATGCACACTAAAGTACTGCGTCTCTTATAATAGTTCACAGACCTTTCCCCCTTCTCAAGTTCTTTGAACCATAATTTATAGGTTCGGTCCTTTGGTATGAAGGTTTTTGGTTACGCATCCATAATGAGGTGGGCCGTGGAGGCGAGATATGAAACTTGAGATTTACTAAATTCGTTTAGTGGAGCACTGTTGAATTGCATCCTTTAACCAATATTCGAATCCGCCTGCATGTTGAATACAACAATATAGTTGTACTAGTGTTTAATATGCTTGGTTTAAGAAACATGGTTCAATTTAATAAATATCTAAGTCCTAAGTGAACCTGTTGTGATCTCCCTAAGGCATCTCATCTCTACCTCACAACTTTATTCGGTTGCAAAACTGTTTGTTTTCATGATATTGTAATAAATACCATCATTTACAGTTCGTTGACTTAATTACTGCCTTCGTAAACAAACATACTGCAGATTCGCTAAGCATTCCAATCCGAATGAGTCGTTGACACTAGTGACCTTTCCTTGAACTTTGGTTGTCCCAAATATCCATCAAAGTCATCACACAAGGTGCAACAAACTGACTTTAAAAAATACCGAAGTAAAAAAAAAATGTTATGTCTGAAACGACTGTTTTCCATTAGTAAATCATTGCAAATGTGAATTATTTGAGCTTTTTTGAATTTCGAATTTTTTTTTTTTGCCCCGCTGATTCCTTCAATGCCTTCAATGTAATCGCCCTCTTCCCTTTTCTCAGACCGAACTGTCAATGAACGCGAAGTCGATTCTGAAGCCCTAGAATTAGAATAAGAAGCGTGTGGCTTGCATGCCCCGAGCTATACTTCGGCCACCGTACATTAATGACATGTAATTCACTCCACTAATGGCGTATTACTGAGCTTTCGCGAAAGCTGTGAGATCGCCGGAAGCGGCATCGTATACCCGCAACACCAGAGCAATTACCGACTTGAAATCAAGGCTATCATCGCGAGTACGCGTTTGTCGAATCCACTTCACACGGCGACTTCACGTCATATGTCCCGGATGTGTGTGTTAAAAGCGGACAGTTTTGGGCCAAAGCACCATTGTGGAAAGCTTTGACGACTGAAGTGGTATACTAGCCTCATTTTGAAGCCTGTCCCCTAAATCATTCAACGTCCTATCCAAGGGAAATGGTGACGAGTCATGTGGTTGACAGACCATGTGCGTGGAATGTAGGCTATACGTATATTTCCATGGGCCTTATTCACGAGTCGGCAATATTGAATTGAAAGTATGATAAAATCTTAATTTTTGGAACTTGCGAAGAGAAATTACAGCAAGTTCATTTATAACAAACTCCTGATCTGCTTCAATGGATAATTTAACATTTGTAATTAAACATTCCCTAATGTTTAAAGCCATATTTAAAAAAAAAATGACAGTAAAATAAGGCTGCATTGTGCCTGCATAAATAGTCTGGCGTCGTTCCATTACACAGTTAACAATTAATGAAATAAATGATTCAGGGAACTTTACACAAATGGCCAACTCGTGAAAAAAAAAACCATGTCGATACTCTTTCTTACCACAACGTATCGCGTTTTTCCTAACAAAATTTGTTAAAAAGAGATATGCCGCATTCGGTGCTTCATTTTGTTATGCTCGCCGCAGAGAAACGTTCTCAAACAAAAGTAGCACAGAGAAGGGCAGAGATTGTATAGTTTGATTCATACGCACAAAACTTGACGTTACTTCTCATAAGATTCCATCCTACCGACAACATTGTTTTAGACAGAAATTCAAAGATTATAGACCGGAGAAAGGTGACACGGCACCTCAGTTCATGGCTACCTTCGACTGCAGATACTCGCTAGATAGCAATGGATAGAACTGATGTACGGCGGCATTACAGAGATCATAGTACGGCGCCGATTCACACGTACAATGTTGACCGACATCACACTGCCTGGTAAACATGCTAATTCTCCTGGTTCCATGGCTGTCTTTTGTGGTAATTCCTCACAAATGTGAAATCTTTCCCGAATCATGTCTCCACTCTCCAATAATCATCGTGCACTGTACCAACTGTAAGCTATACCCATAATCCCAGTAGTGGTCAAACTGGATGAATGAGGGTAAAGGCTTGCTCTAGTTCTACACATTGGTTGTGCATGTGATAGTCTTGCCCTGATCATGTGGAAGCTAAACGTGAACGCATGGTTCAACCACTTTATCTTACTCAAATTAGCCATAATGTGGCCAGACACAATTTGATGGTGAATATTCAACCAAAGCTTTGGTTAACTTAATGAAAACGCTTTACACAACTAACTCTGGTTGTTGCTGACCAGTATCATCAATTACATTTAACCACCAACACGGTTAAAATAGCCAATTATAGTTAACCAGTTAATTGGTTTACAATATGACCACAGAAAAAAAATCCAAAAGTAATGTGACCAATAAATTTTATTTTTAGCCAATTTTTTTTTAATATGCTTCACGACAACAGATTTAAAAATTTTTGAAAAACGTCCTTCGTCATTCAAATAC